AGGCTCACTGCTGAGGAGGCCTGCTCCCCTCCACTGGACCTGCACCCCCCGCCTTCCTCATGCCGACATCTCCCAGGGCGCTCCCTCTCCAGCAAGGCCACCCAGCTGCCTAGCGGAGGCGTCTCCTGCCCGCCTCCCGGGACTGTAGCTCCCAGAAAATGTCCCCTAGGACATCAGCTTGTCCGGGAAATGCTTCAAAAATGGACGTAGGCTCAGATTCACTTCTGGGGGTCTTGGAGCCTGCACCCTGTGACAGAGAAGGCTCTGCTTTCCTGCGCAGCGGATGCACTGAGCAAGCGCGTGGGAAGCCCTCCACTCTCTTCTCTCTGACCTGGAGCACCCCCGCGAGGTTGTCTCCTGCCTCCAGCGGGCTGCTCTCCGTGCCTGGCGTGGCGTCTGGCTGCAGCACCAGCAGCGGCTCCTCGTTCTGTAGAAAACTCAGTAACAGGCGTTTGTCTCCGGGGTTGTGTTAGCTCCTGCTCGCCAGCGAGCGGGGAGCTCATCTCTCCCTTCCCTTCCGAATGCGAAGGCATGTTTTCTGCGTTTGCCCCAGAAGGAAGGTTGAGCAGCCCGTGTTCTGTGGGGGTAGTGTGCGCAGAGGGAGGGGCCCGAGGGCGCACGCCTTTCACCACGGAGGCTCACCGCCGGCACACTACCCGGGGGGTGTTTTAAAGTCCGTTATTTTGAGGTAGAGTTATGTAATTTTGCAATGCTAGCATCTCATAGGTGCTGTGTTCACCACCAAACAGTTGTGATGACCCGAGTCGGTGTCTCGCTGGAGAAATTAGCAAGAGCTCCATTCACATCAGTGTCTTCTGAGCTGCGGGGCCCAGCCCATCAGAGGTGTCAGATCCGCTGGATGAGTCAGTCCTCGTGCTTTATTTTCCTAGTAACACAAACGTTCTCTGGCTCCGTTGTTGAGTGCGTGTTTGCACGCAGGTGTGTAGGTGTCACCGTGCAAAGTGCATTTCCCTCCAGGACCTGTGATCAGGACGTCTGAGTCCTCCCCCCACCCCCAGTGCCCATCCATTAGCTGCCGTCCGAGCCACGGACGTAGGGTCACCCTCCCCAGCGCAGTCCCCAGTCCCTACTCTGCCCTCCGCCTGCTGCCCTGTTCTGGGCTCCCACAACCTACCCCATCTCCACACACGTCACTGACACATCCATCTCGGCTTCCTCCTCCCTCCTCGTTAAAAAATCATCGTGACAGTTTGCTGTCACTTGACTTTTAGTCGGAAGCCCATTCCTGTTCCTGGCGGGGCGGGGTTGAATAGAACCGTCCATCACCCAGAAATGCTGCTCTCGGTTCCTGGTGGGGCCCGGGCTCCCCTCTGTGGGATGGCAGCGTGGCCACCCTGTGGTCAGTGTCCTCATCCTCGCGCGTGTCTGGGCCAGTGTCCTGGACGTGCATTTCCGTGTCCTTACATAGATCTCCAAGGCGCCCTCCTTTTTAGCAGGACATCATCGACTTTTGTTTTAACTCCAGGCTGAAAATTGCTGACTTTAATTGAAGTGTCTAGTCTTTTTATGTTTAGTGTAATGATTGACACATTTGTGCTTAAATCTGTCATCCTTTGCTTTCTTGGGTTTTTCCCCAGTTTTTTTTCTGCCTCCCTCGTTTCTCCTTCCTTGCCATCCTTCTGGTTGATGTGGCCACCGCACGCCTCCGCTCTCCCCTCCATCGGCTTGTAAACCACGGGCGCGCTGCTGTGTTCTGCTAGGGGCCGAGGTGTGCGTGCCGTTGGCCTTGACAGCCACAGAACACCTCTGTCTGGGATTCTTGCTCACTTTGTGTTACTGCCCTCTAAAGTGGCGAAGACCGTGACCTCGCGGTCCGCACAGACTATGGGCTGCTGGTGGGGCAGGAACGCCCCCCGGAGCAGCACCGCTACCACCATCACGGCTGCAGCACCGGTTTGGTTGCCTCGGCGCCGTGCAGTTTTAGCTGTTCATACCTTGCAGATATTTTATTAAGGTAATTTCTGTTTTCAGTTGTTCGATGATAGTGTGTAGAAATGCAGTTGCTTTTCAGATGAAAACCCCATTTCCTACAGCCTTGCTCAACTTCACTCACTAGCCGGAACAGCTGTTTTATAGGTTCTGGAAGCTCTTCCTCAGACACGACGCTTCATCTGCAAGTACGTAATACTTTGTTCGTGGTGCTTCATCCACAGTCCTGCTTCCTTCTTTCCACTCTTGAGGTCCTTAATTCCTTTTTCTCGTGTTGTTGCACTGGCTAATGCCTCCAGTACAATGTTAATAGGAGGGATGGAGCCGGGCGTCCAGACCCTAATCTCAGTTGAGGACCCATTAGAGGGGAAGCATCGTATCTGCCGTCATTAAGTAACAGGTGGGCTGTGAGTTTTCTGTAGATGCCCTGAATCAGGTTGAGAAAGTTTCCGTCCAGACTTAGTTTTCTGGGAGCTTCTGTCTCGAGTGGGTGTTGAAGTTCCCTGCGCGCCTTTCCGCGTCTGCCGATACGGTGCTGTTCGCCTCTGCTCCACTGATGTGCTGCGTGGCGTTGCCGACGCCCCACTGTCGTTAACTTGAACAGACCTTGCGTGGCTGTGGCAAACCCCATTTGGTCACGGTGTGTGGCCCTCTGGCACGTTGCGGACCTGACTCACTACCGTTTGGTTAAAGCTTCCGGCACCCGAATTCTGAGGGGCAGCGGCCTCATCCACTGTCCAGGAGGCACGGCCGCAGGCTCCCCCACAAAGGCCGCATCCGAGCCTGGGGTGTGGCGGCTCCCGCCTCTGCTCCTTCCTTGCCGCGCACCCGTCCCCATCTTCTGAGAGCGCTCTTTGCTCTTCCTGGTGGTCGGTCCCCGTTCTCCACACAGTATTTTCTATCACATTCTGTCTGGAAAAACCGCTGGCTTTTGTCGCTCGACCAGCCCCCAACTAATCCGCAAAGGATCAGATGCATTTTTTAATGCATCTAATTGCATTAAATTGTGATTTTTGTTCCCACAAAGAACACATGCATTTTTTCTGGCTGTTTTTAGGTATTTCTCTCAGTCTTGGGTTCCACAGTTGATTCTGATGTGCCTGTGCGGGCGTCCTTGTCCCTGTCTGGCTTTGTGACTAGAGCACTTCCTGCACCTGAGCCCCGGGGACTGAACTGTGTCGTATGCTGAAGCCCAGTGTGACACAGGGTTTGCAGATGGGGCCTGTGGGAGTGAAGGTCACAGGGTCAGTGAGGCTGGGCGGGTGGGCCCCACGATGGGATCGTTGAGGACGCTCTCTTCAGGGTGAGGACCTCACCAGCCCGCAGGGAGAGCTGCCCCGGGCAGCGCGGGACCTGCTGCCCTGAGCGTGCACGCCTGGTCTGCAGGGCCCTGAGACAGGACTCCCGGTCCGCACCACCTCGTCCCGCAGCTGGCATGAGCAAGACGCTGCACCCGACATCTCTTGTCGTGGTGGGACGTCCTCGGCCACTGCATCCGTGAACGCCGCCTCCCTCCCTGCCCCTCCGCCCCTCCCTCCGGGACCCCAGTGTGCGCGTGTCGCGTCTCCCTGCGGTTTCCACCCCATTTCCGAAGTCCCAGCCTTCCGCCCCAAGTGGTTTCTCGGTCCCGTCTTCCATCTCCGTCTTCGGCGCTCTGCTCTGCTGTTCAGCCCTCTGTTGGCTTCTTAGTTCGATGCGCTGTACTGACAAGTTCTGGGAATTCTTAAATGTGCAGTCATTATCTCATAGTTTCTGGTCCTCTGCCCGAGTTTCTAGCTATTCTTTAATTCCTTGAGCGTAGGAAGTAAAATTATTGTGAAATCCGATATCACCATTGAACGACTTCTCTGCCCTCTTCCTCTTGTCAGTTGTCTTTCTTGGTTTCAGGCGTATTTCAGGTTCCCAGTAAATACCCATTTCTTTGTTATTAAAGGCTGCAACTGAGCGTGAGAATCGTGCGGAGAGCGGGAGTGAAACGAGGCTGTGAGGTCTTGGTTGTTTCTGGCGCATCCTGAGCCCCGGCTCAAAGCTGAGGGAGTTTCTCAGAGTGCCGTCTCCTTGGGGTCCCTGAGGCCCCGGCTCGGGCTCGTGGCAGTGAGTCCGCCCTCGGCCCCGAGTCCCCGCCTCTGGGTCCTGCTTGGTCTCAACACTGGATTAAACCTGGGGCTTCCCTCTCAGGCCTGGCCAGACCCCCACTGACTTCAGAAAGGTTCCCACACGGCCTGTCTAGCTGTTCTCCGTGGGCTGATGGTGAGTCACCTAAGCCACCAGTTCCGGAATGTCATCTAAGCCTCGGGGACTCCTCGGAGCCCAGGCCGAGGACCGCAGTGGTTCCCCGGCCGACCCGACTCTCACGTGGTGCCGCAGCACCCCTGCCGCCCACGTCTCCGAGTCAGTGATGAACGTGTGGACTGCGCCAGAGCCGGTCTCCGGGGGCAGCAGGGCTTTGTTCTCAGTAGGGCGGCCTTTCCTCCGAGACCTTGGACCTCTGTCGAGCGGCAGTGCCGGGTTGCCCTTCTCTGAGTGTTGTCCTGCTTCCTCGTGTCTTCTTCTTCTGGTCCTGGCACAAAGTGTCCGTGGTGAAGTGAGGAGGGCTTCCTGCAGGAAGCGGCGTGTGATGGAGGGCATCACCCCTAGCACCCAGTCTAGACGCCCTGTGTCCCCAGGTGGCTCGGGCAGACTCAGTGCCCTGGGCGAGCCACTGGGGCCAGAATCATCAGTCTGTGGGATCTGGTGCCCAGCAGGGCGGCGCTCTAGTCTTGGGACCAGGTCCCTGTAGGTACTTTCTATTTGGGAGGGAGAGTTCCCTGTGTGATGCAAGTGGAGGCCGTGAGCCTGTGGGCAGCCAGCGTGGCTGCCCCACACCCTGTACTGTTCAGACCCGGGTGAGACTCAGAACGTTTACCATGTTCTGAGAGGTAAAGGTAGATGTCCGTGAGTCCCAAGAATCCTGGCCAGGTAAAGGGCTCCTCTCGGCGTGACCAGATGCCCTGCCCAGGTCTGCAGCTGTGTTTCTGCAGCCACTAACGGAAACGCACCGTGTCTCCCAGGATTCCTGGCCGCCTGAACGACAGGAGGACGCCCCTGGGCGAGCTGAACTGGATCTTCACAGCCATCACAGACACCATCGCCTGGAACGTGCTCCCTCGGGGTGAGGCTGCCGGCCCGGAGCTGGGGGGGGGCTGCCACGGGCCAGGGCCTGGGACTCGGGAGAGTGCAGTGGGCGGGGTGGGTTCTGCACCGAGAGGAAAGCCGTCGAGGTGGAGGGCAGAAGGCGAGGCCCCTGGGGCCACCGTGCCAGTGAGAGGGGCCGGGTGCTGAGCACAGGGGCGGGCAGTGGACCGGACGCAGCGTCTCTCTGATCCTCAGTAGCAACCTTCCAGGCGGAGCGAGGGCCCTTCCTCCTCGCAACCATTGGCCTGTCCGAGTGTCCTGCAGGCACGGTGGCAGCTGCGAGGCCGTGTTTGAGGGGCCGCCGGTCTGTGCTCCCACGGGTCTGTGTGGGGACGTGTGTCTGCTGCCGACGGGGCCCCGCTGGCTGGGCAGGTGTTTGAAGGACGAGAACGTGGCATGGACGTGGTCCCAGGAGACGCGTGCTCACGCCCCCCGCCTGCAGATCTCTTCCAGAAGCTCTTCCGGCAGGACCTGCTGGTGGCCAGTCTGTTCCGGAACTTCCTGCTGGCGGAGAGGATCATGCGGTCGTACAACTGCACGCCGGTCAGCAGCCCGCGCCTGCCCCCCACCTACATGCACGCCATGTGGTGAGTGCTCACGGGCTGGCGCCAGGCGCGTGGCAATGTTCTCCCGGCGGTGTGGCTTCTCCGGTCTTGTGCGGGCGCTCGGGTAAGGGCACCACGAGAGCAGAGGGCTGGCCACCAGCCCTGGGGCCCAGGGTGGTGCCGGCGCCCGCGAGTCTCAGGCCTGCGGAGCTCGAGGGCTTTCCTCCAGGTGCCACGAGCGGCGTCACCCTAACAACACACTAGCGACGCAGGCTCTTGCTCTCTGTGGGGCTCGCTGTCCCAGAACTGTCCCCTCAGGCTGCCCCAGCAGCATACCCTGCAGCTCGGAGTCTGGCTGCGGTGTCCCCACAGTGCTGGTGAGCGAGTGGGAGTCAGCACGGAGGATCCCAGAGGACCCTGGGTCCTCAGGGTTCCTCTGCTGCCAGGCATGTCACACAGAAGGACGCCGCACTTCCCGAGCGGCCCCAAGCAGCACACTGCCTCCGCGCAAATGTGACAGTCGACTGCCACGCTGCACATGTCCCGGGAGAAGCCCACTGGGAGGGGAAGCACCGGTGTTCCTTCATGAAATCGTTCAGAAGATGAGGGACACTGCGACACTTGGTGACCGCTGGGCCCCGCCCCACCCCGGGGGCCTCAGACCCGGTGGACTTGCCCCTCCCTGGCAGGCTGGATCAGGGGTGGGCTTAGCCCCAATCACATGCTCTGCAGTTGGGCACTGCGTCTCGTTGCCCCACAGCCCGCATCCAGTGCACGGGGCCTGCTTCTCCACGCGGGGGCTGGCGCTGGCACCCTCGGGCCGCTCACCCATGGGGCCCCGTTTCCGCCCACCTTCCCCCCCCCCCCACCATGGCATGCAGAGCCTGTTCTCTGGGGCGCAGGGACTTGGACTCCATCCCAAGGGGCCGGCGCCCTGCACAAACCTGTCCTGGGGGCGGAGCTCGCTCGAGAGTTCCGCTTAGGCTGACGCTGCCTCCCAGGCCCGCGGCCGCCCGGCACTGGGGGCTCTGGGGGCCGCCTGAGGCGTGCGCTCTGCCGAACCCTTCGGGACAGGCCTAGAGCGCCCCCCCCCTCGAGAACAGACGGAGGGCACCCACCACCCAGGTGGTCGGACACTAACTGGGGACGAATCGTTGACATCGAGTGTTTGCAGCCCTTCAGTGGGGGGGGGGGGTTGCCTTCTTAGCGGGGCAGGGGTCTCCGAGGAGAACAAAGTGCATCGAAAGTGGAGGTCAGCACAGCGGTGGCCACTCGTCCTTGCCTCAGACAGGCGCTGACAGACAGTGGCTCGGAGCCGCTCCCGTTTACTGTGACGGGAGGCACCAGGGAGCAGGTCCCCTTCGCGCTCAGTTTCAGCCCGTTGGGAACCCTCGCATTTCTCGGCGGCGGTGACCCGTGCCCACCGGTCCATCTGGCAGTCGGGGCCACAGCCCGGGACACTTGCCTCCTGGCCCCGCCTGTTTCCTGGAAACCCCAGCTCTGGCCTCAGAGGCACGGTTTCCAGGCAGGGGCCCCCCTGAGCCGGAAGGCGGAAGGGAACCCGGAGGCCGAGACTGCAGTGAGCCTGGCCCGCCCCCCAGAGCCTCCCAGCCTCTCCTGACCCTGCCCTCTCACTGGGGCACAGCCGTGGGGGTGCAGCTGCCTGGGGACCAGCCCATCCACGGCTGTGAGACCCCCAGGCCTCGCCGCCAACTCCCCCTGACGAGAATGCCAAGTTGAGACACCGGGTTTCTCTCGATTTTGCCCTGGAGAGGACCGTCTGTTCCCATCCAGTGATGGAACGCCCTAGCAGAGAACACTGGCGTTGTGCCGCGTCATTCTAGGCTGCAGCAGGGACACTGAGGTCCTCGCATCGGACCCTTTCCTCGTGGGAAGATGAACGTCCCAAGGCCCAGGGAGGAGGCTGACTGCCTGGCCCAGCGCCAGCCGCCGCCTCCACTCACCCGCCTGGGGTTGGCCGTACCTCACCGGCCCGCAGGGGTGTCTGACCACACCGCGGTCAGCAGGGCTCGGCTCTTCCTACAGCTTCCATCCGTCCCCCACGCACCCCCGTGGGGCTGGAACTCGGCTCCTGTCCTCCCCCTCAGCTGCGCCCTCCAGCCGGTGGCCCCGAGCAGCTCCTCCCTTCACAGTCCTGGGGACCCCAGCACCCACACCACACCCACTCCTGCCTGTTCACCCCACCTGGTCCCCATGCTCCTGGGCGTCTGTGTTTTCCATCGTTCACCCCCGTGTGCAGCCACGGGAAAAGGCGCCGCCCCCACAGGTAGGGCTTTGCTTGTGTGGCGTGACCTGGAGTCCCAGGAGGCTGCCCCGGAGGAGCCGTTGCAGCCCTGGAAACTGGACAAGCGCGTACTGCCCCTTGTGCCCACGAGCAGCCTTTAGTAAAAGGGCAGGGGCGGGCATGGAAAGGACAGGCTGCGTGGGCCCCTCCCCCAGGGACCCTGTGGGGGTGACGGAGCCGCTGTCCAGTCTCCACCCGGTCTGCGTGGGCTCCTGGTCAGGCCGCGCCAGGGCGTGGCTTCTGGGCCCGATGGTGCTGGCAGGTTGGAGGGGCCAGCCCTGACTCCGGGGGTGGACGGCCGGCACTGGGGGGTAAGGGGTCCTTGGGCAGACCTCCTTTCTCCCACTCACACTGGCCTGTCCGATGAAGCGCGTGGCGGAGCCCGGCGTTGCGTGGCACACTGGCGTGTGAGGCTCCCCGGCCCAGCCACCTGGAGTCGCAGCTGCGCCCTTAGTGTGGACGGCTGCCATGCTGGGGACTCTCGGGTCGGGGCGGAAGAGCCCCTTCATTGTCCGTGAGCTGCTTTCTCATTTTGATTTAACAAGACGAGATGCCACAGACAAGGTGGTCTGCTGTGCTGCCCACCACGGGCTCCGGGGCCACGGTGTGGCCCGGCCTGGCCTCTGCTCTCCTCTGTCCAGGGTCCTGGCCTCGGAGCCCTCGCTGATGCCAGGTGTCCTCTGTTCTCCCCACAGGCAAGCCTGGGACCTGGCAGTGGACATCTGCCTCTCCCAGCTGCCCACGATCATCGAGGAAGGCACCGCGTTTCGGGTGAGCTCCCACCCCAGGCCCTGCGTGGTCGGCCAGGTGCCGTGCCCACCACCACTCAGCTGAAAAGACGCCTCAGCCAGGGGCCCACGTCGGCTTTTGAAGTGGCTGGCTCTGAGGAAATGCCGCCCATCGCGCGTTGCGTCCTGGTCTGCTTTTCTTAGTGCACGCTCCCCGTCCGCCACGGGCCACGTGCCGCCTGTGCTTGGGAGTGTTAAGACCTGGGCCCAGTGGCGGTGCCTCTGAGGTGTCAGGCTCAGTCCCCGAAGAGTCCGGGCCCCGCCCCCGTGCATAGGTGGGGCCCGGTGCCATCGAGCTGATATGGTTTCGGAATCCACTCACTGAGGGTGGGACAGCAAGTCCGTGTGCCCATCCCTCGTCAGGACCCAGAGGGCCTGGGAGGCATTTGGGGCAGCCAGGGGTGCACAGAGTCAAACCCCCGTGCTCCGGGCTCTGTGCGCCATGCATGGTCTGTGCTGCACCGTCGGGGAGTCTGGTGGAGCGGCCGGTCCAGTCTCGCCTCCGTTCCGCGCGGCACCATGCCGGCCGGCCACACGCCTCCCTCGTCCTCTAACCTGCGAGAGCCGCACTCTGCGTTTGGGAGGAATCCCGGCGAACTGGGGAGGGGCTGGGTGACTGAGGCAGGCCTGGCACTGGCTTCTTGGTCTCGTTCACACTTTTTGGGCACAGCAGCTCCCCAGACCCCGCTGTCCCCTGCACCCCTGCCCTTAGCTCACTCCTGCCCCAAGGACTCGCCCCGTCTCCCTCACCCACTTCCGGTCTGGGTGCAGCCCACAGCTCCGCTGGGCGGCTCACCCGAGTGCCTGCTCTGCTGCCGCCCTGCCTGCCCCTTATCGCTGGGATGGCGGCGCCACCCAGAGTGGTGACTGGACATGAGGGTGGCAGGTACGGGGGTCACGCAGCCTCCAGGAGGGCAGCTCTCTGACTCATGCCCCTCTGTCTGTCCCCCAGCACAGCCCCTTCTTTGCCGAGCAGCTGACCGCGTTCCAGGTGTGGCTGACCATGGGCGTGGAGAACAGGAGCCCGCCCGAGCAACTTCCCATCGTCCTACAGGTGAGCGGCTGGGGATGCTTAGTCCGGGGCCTGGGGGCCCTGGGTGCTGGGCCTGGGCCGTCGGGAAGCGTTGGAAAGAGGTCACACAGGCCCGTCAGAGGCTGTTGGGGGAAAGCCCACATCGGCTCCTGAAACAGTGTTTTCCGCCCCATCTCTCCTGTGGCTGTGGGGGGCTGAGGAGCGAGAGCCCCTACAGCCTTCATGAACCAGGAGTGAGCCCCCTCGTGCGCCTGCCTGGGGGCGGGGCTGCACCATGAGGGACGCACGGCCAGCCTCCCTGGCCAGGAGCTCCCTCCGTTGCCACGTGGACACCGCCACGAACCCACTCTGCCCGTGTCGGCCACGTGCAGGCTCTGAGCAGCGCGGCTGAGGTCCCCCCGGTTCCAGACCGTGTGCCAGGACCTCAGCCGAAAGCAGGTTCGGAGGAGGGAAGTGGGGATGATGTTGCCAGAATGCGGTACGGTCCCCGCGTGCCGCGATGTGTCCCTGGGGCTGCGCTGCTTCCCGACCCGGTGAGGAGGACGCAGAGCGATCGCCATTTCATGTGCATCCAGGTCAGTTCCAGGCTCGCCTGTGTTTGCAAGGCGAGCCGTGAACAGACATTTCAAAACCAGAAAAAAGCAGTGACAACAAAACAGAAAAGCACCCATTTTGCAGAAGACGAGCATGGGAAGGTGGCTGCGGGTGAGGGAAGCCGGACGGGCGGGTGTCAGGGCGGCAGCGGTGCCGGGCAGAGCCTACGGCCTGTGTGCGGCCTCCCTGGTCCGACAGCGGCGGGAGGCAGTGGAGGGGCGCTCTGCGGGGCGGGTGTGGAGCGGCGCAGAGCGGGGGGAGCCTGGCGCTCCGTCTGGCGAGCATCCTGCTGTAAGTGGCTTCCTGTCGACTGCTCTCCCGTTCCGTTCCCGGCCGGCACTCCCTTGGGGAAGAGGAGACCTGATGCAGCCATCTCTGATGTGGGGAGAAGGGGGGGCACTGCCGGGAAAGGGGGACGTTTCTGCTTGGCCTCACGGCACACAGCAGGCCCTGCCTCGCCTCCACACAGCGCACCCTCGCAGGCACCTCAACTCCGGGGGGACGGGGAGACAGGTGCGGGGTGCCTGCCCCCTCCGCCCATGCAGTCGTGCCTGCTTTGTTCTTAGGAGCGCAGGGGCCACCCCACGGTCCCCTGAGGCAGACTTTGTTCCCACCCAGGTCTGGACCCCATTACCCATAAGCTGTCCTCGTGTGCTGGTGCGGCCCCGGGTGCAGGGTTTTACTGCGGGCTCTGCAGCCTTTCCGGTCCCCACTGCTGTCACACAAGCCAGGGCTTCCCCCGACTCAGAAGCTCAGGCGTTAGCTGGTGGCCATCCACTCAAGGACACTGTCTCCTCGGGCCAGCAGCGTGTAGCCCCTCCTGAAGACGTCAGCACAAACATGAACTGTCTCCAGCCAGCCTGAGCTCAGCAGAATGGATGGGGGGGAGGATTCTAGAAGCCCAGCGAGGCCAGATGTCAGGTGGCTCTGCCCAGCCTTGCATTGACCGTCTCGCTGCCAGGTGGTCTGCGGCGAGGCTCCAGGCGGAGGAGAAGGGGAGCGGGCTTTTCTAGGACGGTATCAGCTTGCCCGTCGGTTTGGGCCTCACAGGAGAAGGCCCTCAGCGTTCACTGTGCCGCTGGATTTACAGACGGTCTCTGCTCTGACAGCACCGGGAGTCGGGGCCGCAGACTGAGCCAGGCGCTGCAGCCGCACGTGGTCCCCGCCTCGGCCCCAGGCCCGTGACCCTCGGGCTCCCAGGCACTGGCCTGCGGTCCACCCGCGCTCAGAGTCCAGTGTAAGGCAGCCACGCGACTGACACGTCTGAGCCCGGAGGCCGAGCTCCTCGCATGTGAAGAGGGTGCGGCTCAGAGGTCGCGGCACCGAGGTAGCAGGGTCCCTCGCCACCTCGATGGACCCCGTGGGGCACCCCGGCCCCCGGCGTTTCCTCGGTGCTCCCCGCGACCCAGGCAGTCTGACCTGGGAACCGTGTTCGGTGTGAACAGAAACAAAGGCCTGTCCTAATTATGGAAGTAACTTACATCTGGCAGTTTTTAAAACCAGACCCACAGAAGGAACCAGGAAGACCCTGTCGTGTTTGAAGAGGGACGTCCAGCCTGCGGCCCAGAGGGGCCGTGAATGTGCCCAGCACGAAATCGAAAATCTGCCAGAAACACGGGATTTGGGGTTTTGTCTTCGTGATTGCGTGTCACAAGGAACTTGATGTGTGGCCAGGACCACCCTTCTCCCAGGGCGGCCCAGAGGGGCCCGGAGGTCGGACCCCCGTGACTTGAAAGAACGCCCTTGGCGTTTCCCAGGGTGCTCTGCTGACGTCTCCGCATCACCGGGGGCCCCCGGCACCAGGTCTGAGACAGTGCGGGTCGCTCCTCCAAAGGGGCTCCTCCCCCACGGGCAGCACCGCCGGGCCGTGACATGCTCCCACCCCTTCCTGCGGTGCCCGAGGAAGACACGCGTGAGCCTTGAGCTGCATTTCCTGCCTTGCGTGCTGCTCCACCTTTTACCAAAAAAAACAAAACGGGAGCTTCGGCGTGTTCAGGGTCTGTTTTGCGGACTGCAGCCACTCTCACACGCTAGTCAGCAGGGAGACCGCCTCTCACCCGGCGCAGAGAGAACCTTGGTCCTCTGGCAGTTTCGGGTTCTTCCAAAGTGAACGCCGCTGCCCGGGTGCGGCTGGAGGCGGGCGAAGTCCACCCTGGAGATGGGGATGCAGGCACTTCCTGCTTCCTGTGCGCCTTGCGGCCCATAGTGTCAGAGAAGACGCCCAAGTCCCACGGCCCCCTCGTCCCTTGATGAAGGATCTGCAGTTTCCAGAGCTGAAGCCGTTTAAGGCACCGTGAGGAGATGGAACCATCAGGGAGCTCAACCCAGCCCACGGCACCCCCGTCCAGCGATGCACCCCCAAATGCCGCTCTCAGATGTGCCCAGGGGCAGCCACACATCACATGGGCTCACGTATTCAGGGGAGCATGTCAGCCCCTCAAACCAGAGCCTTGCCCTCAGAGACCACCATGAATTGGGGTGGCAGCAGCCCCCCCGGGGACGGGCTCCACCCGGCAACCTCCTCTTCTGCTCCCCCCCCCGCTTCCCTGAGGTTGGGCTGCCTGGTGCAGCCCAGACACCCACGCTGGACCCCCAACCAGGGCCGCTCCCAACCCCCTCCTCAGAGAGACCTTCTCAGGAACATGGTGCTCTCAGGAAACACCCCCCTCCGCCACCTGGGTCCCCCCTGCACCCCGACCCTGTTCCTGTCGCCACGTCCGCCTCTTCACGGAGGAACGGCTCTGGCCGCCCCACGTCCCCACCCCCAGTCCCATCCTGTTCCGCTCTGCCACCCTCCCTGCGACTCCAGCAGGATGTGCGCCCCCACGCCCTTGGGTCCTCCCTCGGGTCCTGTGGTGCCCCTTCTGGCAGCCGGGGACGTGGCCGAGTCCTCCTGTCCCTCGGTTCCACTGCCGCCTCCCTGTTCGCCACGGGTCTGCCCGCCTGGCCCCCTGCCAGCCGCCCGCCCGGCACTCCCAGCCTGGCCTCAGGGCCTGGCCCCGGCTTCACCCGTCGCCTCATTCCAGACCTTATCTGTTACTTCGTGTAAAACCCCCACATTCCTCTTGTTTTGTGAGTTAAGAAGGCAGGACACAGCTGGAGTCATGGCCCCGGGGAGGGCAGCTCAGAAAACCCGCGTCTGCGGCACTGGGGGGGCCCGTGGGCAGCGCAGGCTGGTGGGGCGGGGGAGGTGCACGCGTGCACCGCTGGGCCGGCCCCGCCCATGTCCTGGGGAAGGGGTGGCTTGCGTGTTCAGAGACACACCCACCAGCGTGTCTGTGGCAGCAGGAGGTGACAGTGACTCACCTGTCAGCAGCGCCACGCCGGTGCATCATGACGTCCTCATAGGTGCGGGGTTGGGCTGCCACAGGGCCCACGGGGCCAAGGAGGCCACAGTCGCTGGCTCCGAGCGAGGGCCACGGTGTGGCGCTGGGTGGGAAAGGAGGCAGACGGGCAGCGGCGGCCGGTCTCCTGCAGAAGGGGTGAGGGGCCGTCCGCGGCGGCCTCTGTGGCGTCGGGGGTCTGCGCACCACAGCGCCGCCAGCCGTGTGCTTCCAAGTGCGGCCCGTCCGCGCGGAGCCGCCGCCGGGAAGGAACCCCCGCCTTGGTGACCAGGCCTGGGCCCCACAGCCCCGCAGTGACGCTGTCTCCTTCCTCCCCAGGTGCTGCTGAGCCAGGTGCACCGGCTGAGGGCCCTGGACTTGCTGGGGCGGTTCCTGGACCTGGGCCCCTGGGCAGTGAGCCTGGTGCGTGTCTCCGCTGCGTGTCCCACCTGAAGAGCAATGTGGCCGTGGGGCCGAGGGCAATGTGGGGACGGCCACGCGTCCGTGAGGCCCTGGGAGGATGCGGTGTGACCACGTCATCTCACGTGGCTTTGCCCTCCAGTCCTCTCTGCTGTTACGAGGTGTCCCCTTCAAAGGGGGGAAGTGCTGCCAGCCCATGGCCTTCGGGCAGTGGTCCAGCCCCACGCGGGACGGCCCCCCTCACCCTGGCTCTGGGCACAGTGCTGTCACAGCTCCCCCGTCACTCTTCAGAGAGCAGAGACAGCAGGGAGGACTGGCAGGAAGGGAGCCAGAAGCAACCTGACCCTCCAGCAGATCAGAGGAGGGGAGGGCTGTGGCGGGGTCTGCGGACCGAGGGGGTTCAGGGACCATCAGCAGTTGCAACGTGCGGACCTGAGGTGGTCCTGTCTGCAAACGGGTCGAAAGTTAGAGCATGAAACATCTGCTGGTGAAGCAGCCAGGAACGTAGCTGAGCGTCTCACGTCAGCACAGGCGCTTGCTCGAGTTTCTGGGGGAAGTGACGGTGCGTGGCCCTGGTTCTCGTAAGGGAGCCGTTTGTAAAGACGAGAGTGTTCGCAGGTGAGCGTTGGCGGCACCGCTGCGCTCCGGGCGGCCAGGCTCGTGTGGGCGGGGGGCCGCTGCGGCCAGCACTGCGCCGAGCCTGGGGTGCACACGTGGGTGTCGGCTGGTCTCCGCACGTGGGCACTGAGTCTTGTCGTTGTGTGGTGTCCGAGAGTCACACAACTGGTGAGAGTCCACGCAGAAGGAGACTGTGGGGCTGGGAGGCCACCAGGTCCGCACCGGCCTGTCACTCCGTCTCCACGGAAGAGGAGGCGGGGAACGTGTACCAGTAACGTTCCAGAGAGATTCTCTTTCACGTGGTTAATTAAAATAAAAAATGAATCACACACATGCCAGTTGGAACCCCGTGACTTGCTGGATAAACTGGGCACTGTCGCAGGCACAGACTGGCCCAGAGGCGAAGGCTCGTCCTCGTGGGCAGGCCTCTAGCGGGACGCGGCACCACGTTGCCACGGGCCCGGGACCCGCTGTTGGGTCCAGCAGACCTGAGACCAGGGCAGCGCAGAGCTGACAGGGTCAGCGTCACAGGGTCTGCCTCCCTGTCCCAGGATGCCACCTTCTCTCTGAGCCCCCTGCCGAGGAGCAGAGAGGCGCCCCCCACAGAGGTGATGCGTGGCCAGGAGCCAGGCCCGGGAGGCCCTCCCTGGGGCTGGTCTTTGTCTGAAGGTCTGTCCCCTGTGCACGTGTGGCTCTCGGAGCCGGGCCGATGTGTTCTACATGGTCCCACATGTGCAGGTCGTAGTGTGGGACCCGCCCTGCTGCCCAGAGCGAGCATGGCCGCCTGGACCAGGACGGGGACCCCAGGGCGCAGCCACCTGCCCCACCGACACCGCCCCGTCCCCGCAGGCGCTGTCCGTGGGCATCTTCCCCTACGTGCTCAAGCTGCTGCAGAGCTCCGCGCGGGAGCTGCGGCCGCTGCTCGTCTTCATCTGGGCCAAGATCCTGGCTGTGGACAGCGTGAGTAGGCCTTGTGCCCCACACTCCCCGTCCCGGGCCGTCCCGGGCCTGGTCTGGGGCGCGGTGGGCCCTCCTGTTGTCCTGGAGAGACCACATGCTTCCCCTCGGGCCCCCCCGGCCTGTTGCCCAGGCTCCTCACCTGGGGGCACACAGTCCAGTCCCCAGAGAATGGCGCCCTGCGAGTGCCCAGGAGCAGCCGCTCCGGCCGTGCTCTGCAGCGAGGCTCCGAGGCACAAGCGGTCGGAGCGCGCATCGGTCCCCACTCCACGGCGCGCAGGGCGGCTCCCCCAGGCACTCGTGTTCACACGTCTCCCGTGTCTCCTCTCCGCAGTCATGCCAAGCGGACCTGGTGAAAGACAGCGGACACAAATACTTCCTCTCGGTCTTGGCCGACCCCTACATGCCGGTAAGGCCCGGCACCCTCCCGTGGGCGGCTCAAGATCCCTGTCATCTGCCTCTGCTCCCGTCACGCTGCAGCAGCCCCTGTAGCGGCTCTGGAGCAGGGTCCCTCGCCCCCCCAGCGGGCGGCCACGCTTCAGGGGCCATGTTCACACTGCGGCGGCTGCCCCGCTCAGACGGCGCAGGTCTTGGTGGCCACCTCAGCACTGTGTCTAAGTGAGAGTCCGGATGGCCCCAACTTTTGTGGGTGTCAGTCCCTTCTCCTCAGCACAGTGTCACCATGCGCTAGAATCCCATCCCCCACCCCACCCACCGGGACGCCAATGTGACAGGTCATGTGCACAGCGATGGTTCAGGGACGCGCCGGGACGCCAACACGCCTCAGGCGTCAGGGAGAGAAGGGGGAAGGAGTTTAGATTTTAATATTAAATCGCTGAAGCTCAGCAGTCCGTGAAAAGCAGGCACCATAACCCCTGTGGCAGTTCCGACCAGTGTCTGGATCCCCTGACTCCAGCTCCGAGCACGGTGACGAGGGCACAGTGGGCACCCGAGGTCGCGTGGAGGGTGACGGCGCGATCACGCGGCCTGCGGCGGCTGCAGCTACGGAAAGGAGTTCTGTGCACAGTAGGCCCCAGCTGGTCTCTTAAACCAGAGGCTGGTAGAAAACACAGGGAGCACCAGACGGGGGGCCACCGTGTAAGTGGCAGGTGGCACTCGCGTGTTCAGACTTAGGCGTGTGCGCGTCGTCGTGGACAGTCCCGGGCGAGGCCCTGAGTGTAGGGAGCAGCCCCGCTCTTCAGGGTCGGCGGGCACACGGGGAACCGGGTGGAGCAACGCTGGACCGGACCTGCAGCGTGCGCGGGCTCGGCCGGCACGAAGGGGCGGCTCCGGCCGCAGGCACACCCAGACTCGGGGGCACGGCCCTGTCCAACGAGAGGGAAGGGAAACCCCCAACGCCAAAAACCAATGAGAGAGGTCAGAGGCGCAACAGAGGGAAGCGAGCAGGGACACCACAGTGGCCCCGGCGTCCCCACGGCAGAGGACACAGGCAGACGGCCAGAGACACAGACTCGACACCCTGCTGACAGCTGGAGCCGCCAAGTGCTTGCGCCCCGATCATTCCAGGTGGGCCGCCCCGCTGGGCAGAAAGCACGAGGATAGGCCCAGCCTAGGGCTGGGGCCACCGCGGGCCTGTGCTCGCAGAGGACAGGCTACAGGGGCCACCTGCCCAGAAACAAACCAAGACCCCTTCAGTTCAGGGTCGCTGCACCCCCAGGGGTCCGGGAGAGGCACAGGCGTGACCTTTGCTCAGCGATACTTCCACGGCTGGGAAGCTGGAACAGGACGGGAGACTCATCCGGAACCTCCGCCGCCCCCCCCCCCGCCAGGGAGCCGCGCTGAGAAAGGAACAGACACACCTGGAAGAGATGAAGAGTCGGTGTGAGCGCACGTAAGACGGTTGGAAGAAACAGCCCGGCAGGTGTGGCTCAGCGGACTGAGCGCCGGCCTGGGAACCAAAGGGTCTCTGGTTCAGTTCCCAGTCAGGGCACGTGCCTGGGTTGCGGGCCAGGTCCCCAGTAGGGGGCACTCGAGAGGCAACTACACATGGATGTTTCTCTCTCCTTTCTATTTCTTCTCTCTATAAATAAATTTTAAAAATATTTTTAAAGTGGTTGGAAGAAACAATTTGTTTTAATTATGTCAACGAAGAAACCATTGTATTGTTTCTTGAGAAGTACTCTTGTTCCTGTCACAGGAAACCGTGTATTCTGACCTTTTCCCCCTCCGTCAGGTGACCGGCCAGGTGCTCTCGGGGGCGTGGGGGCAGGGACGGAGCAGTCAGTGCGGCAGAGCCTGCGCAGAGGTGGGCAGTGGGGCGGGCGCGGCCAGGGAGCGACCTGCGGAGGGCGGAAGCCAGACGTGGAAAGCGCAGTGGATTTGAGAAGGTCCAGTGAGAACAAGCTGCACAAAGAGCTGTGGTGACCGAGGCGTCCACCAGAGGCGGGAGTGTCCAGGACAGAAGCCTGTTTGTCCTGGAGGGACCGTGACATCATCAGCTCCAGCAGACAGCAGAGGCACGGGGGGCCTTTCAGGCGTTGGGGGAGCTGCTGTCGCCCTGAAGTCTCAGCCCAGCAGAAGTGTCGCCAAGAATGAGGGCGGAGCCAGCGCATTGTCAGAGACGGGCTCACCCTCAACCCAAGATCCTTGTAACGCCCGCGAGCCCGCAGGACGTCAAGCCCCCAGGAAGCCGCGTGCAGGAGGAGGCAGGAAGCACAGGCGTTGGCCCGCACGTTGCTTGTAAACGAGATGGAGGACCGTCAGCCACGTGGGGTCAGGACGGGGGGCAGGGCAGGCGTGCGGGGGCCGGGCACTCAGAGCCAGGCCCCCCCCCACCCCCGCCGTGAACCCGTGAACCCGAGGGAGGCAGGTGCGGCTCTGTGTGGAGCAGGGCCCGACCCGGAGCCAGCAGAGGCCGTGGGAAGGGCCCGAGGGGCCCCAGGAGCCCGGGCAGGAGAAGAGACCAAGCCGCACGAGGGCTCGTTTTGCAGCACGCACTTGGCCAGGGGCCGCCAGGGCCGCCTATAGTGGACACCCACAACCGGCCCCGCCTGGGGCTGCCGGGCCCACACAGGCTCCACGCTCGCCACCAGGGACCCTGAGCGGGTGTCTCCGCGGTGCTGGGGGCGAGTTTGGGACGAGCGTGACCTCTGTTTTCCAGGCCGAGCACCGGACCATGACGGCCTTCATCCTCGCGGTGATCGTCAACAATTACAACACGGGGCAGGTGAGTGGCGCTGCACGGCCCCTGCCCCCACATCGCACCCTGGCCTCCTGCTGGCCACAGGCGGTGGGGCTGCAGCTGCCGCACTCAGGGACCGTGGGGACCGTTGTCCTGAGTGTCTAGTTGAACAGTCACCCTTAGGGAACGGGGCCACCCCTGTGTTTAGCCGGCATCCTCAGGGCGAACTGAGATTGGAGAGATTTAAAATGAGGAACATACGGAGACCTCCCTGAGAAATGCCAGGGCCATGACCCCAGTTGCGTGAGTCCCCCACGTGTGTCCCCCGTACCTCGCAGGAGGCCTGCCTCCAGGGCAACCTCATCGCCATCTGCCTGGAGCAGCTCAGCGACCCCCACCCCCTCCTGCGCCAGTGGGTGGCCATCTGCCTGGGGCGCATCTGGCAGAACTTCGACTCGGCCAGGTGGTGTGGGGTGCGGGACAGCGCCCACGAGAAGCTCTGCAGCCTCCTCTCCGACCCCATTCCCGAGGTGGGTCTGTCCCTCGACCCCGGGCCAGGCCGTAGTGTCGCTGCCAGCGGGGTCCTTGGTGCTGGTGGGCCCACCGGGCACTGGGGGGACAGTGCCTGCAGCAGGGCCTGCTTTGGGTGCTTCCCGGTGTCCAGAAACCACCCCCACTGCCTGTCCCCTGAACCCTTTCTCCCTCACCGCCACCTGCCCCTCGAGCTAGGGCCACTGGGGTCCGTGAGGCCCCTCCCCCGTTTCCCCTCCGCCCCCACCGGCAGGGCGGGGGCAGCAGGCCCTGCGGGAGCCCCGCCCAAGGGCCTGCACGGGCGGGGGGCGGGGCTGTGACCGGCCCCTCCCACAGGTGCGCTGTGCGGCCGTCTTCGCCCTGGGCACCTTCGTGGGCAACTCCGCGGAGAGGACCGACCACTCCACCACCATCGACCACAACGTGGCCATGATGCTGGCGCAACTCATCAGTGACGGGAGCCCCGTGGTCCGGAAGGTGCGTGGCAGGGTCAAGCCCCTGTGAAGTCGCCCCGCCCCGCCCCGCCGCCACACACTCTGTGCTTGCTCACACAGGGTGTTTCCCCAGCCAACTCCTGGCGTCCGTGTGGCGGGCTGTGCAGCCTGGGAACGTGGGGCGGGGCGGGGGTGTGTCCCACCTCTTGTGTCAGGCGAACAGACCACGGACAGAGCAGGAGACACCCCTGGTCTCAGTGGGGCAACAGCGTAGTTTCCGTCCGGGTCTCACGCTGCTCGGAACCTGGCACAGCACAGCGAGCGAGGTCCCCCGTCCGCCCCCATCTGAAAGGGCCACTAGGGGGCCTGGTGGTCACTGGCTGAGGGCCAAGCTTCGGGGGCCCCTGGGTGGGGGAGGGGCCAGGCTCCAGGCAGCGCCTCACACCTCTTGGTAGCTCCAAGTGTCCACGGCCTCCCGGGCGTGTGCGGCCTGGGCCCTGCCCAGCCGTCCACAGCAGGCCGTGTGTGCCAGGGAAGCCTGGGGGTACATGATGGCAGCAGGCGGGAGGATGCACTACTGATGGGAGCTGGTCACTTGCTGTCCTGTGTGGCCGGCCTGGGCCCCCAGGCCTGTGACCCAGTGGTGACCGTCCCTGGCGCTTCTCTCAGGAGCACACACTGGGAGGTGGGGGTGGGGCGGAGACTGAGCAGCGAAAGAAGTGGTGTGGCAGGGGGTCCTGCGTGGTCCTGCGTGGGAGGAGAGGGAAGAGAGAAGGGAGGCGGAGAGCGTCCTGGGGGGCTCCTGGGCGGAGATGAAGGAAGTGCCTAGCTGACCCCAGGACCCTGGGGAGCCTTCCCCAGCAGAGGACCGGCAGGTGACAAGGCCCAGAGCCGGAGGGCAGTGGGCATGAGGGGCCAGAGGCAGCCGGGTGAGGCCGAGCTGCGTGCTGAGTGGGACCGACTGTGAGCGCTGAGGCGGCCCCAGTGCAGCGCTGCACCGACCCTCCCGCTTTGCTTCCCTGTGGTTGTGAGGGTCTGCAGTGCCCACCTCCCGGGCTGAGGAGGGTGGACCTGTCGGGCCCACAGACTGAGGGCTCAGCGAGCCTGGGTTGGTGGGGAGGCCGTCACCGTGTCGGGTTAGAGCTGCTTCACCAAGGGCAAGGCGGGCGGCTCAGCCACCGTGGGCCTGCCAGGGGCGCCAGCCTAGGCTTGGTGACAGTCAGCAAGGCCTGTCCTCTCCCACTCAGGAGAGGCACTTTCCATTGGTGGGTCTTCACCCCATCGTCTCCCATGGGTCATTCTCAAGGGCATTCAGTGCCCTCCTGGAGGTGGCCCATGGCTGGTGGCCTGATCTTGACTTTACCTTGACACACACACCCCCCCCCCCACCCCTCGCTGAGAGGCTGGTGCTCACACCGACCCAGTGCTTCACCGGAAGGCGCCGGAAGTCATTGCTGCGGATACCGAGCGCAGAGTTTGGTCCTTATTTTCTCTCTTCTGCGGTGACTCCAGCGCTCGGCGTGAACTTCAGGTGTCACTGCTTCTCCACAGCATGTCACAGCCATGGAGAGAGTGACTGTCCTTGTTCCTCTCGGCAGGAGCTGGTGGTGGCACTGACTCACCTGGTTGTGCAGTACGAAAGCAACTTCTGCTCTGTGGCCTTGCAGTTCATGGAGGAGGAGAAGAACTACCCGCTGCCTTCTCCTGCGACCACAGGTACGGCCCCCACCTGTGAGTGTCGGCCAGACGGGGACCCGCTGTTGGAGCCGTCGGCAGCCTCTCGGTTTCACGAACTCGGGCCCAGGTGTCCAGTCCTCACCACTGCAGTGCCAGCTCCGCGTGGCTCTGTGGTCCCTGTACCCCTGGCACCAGGAGGCACAGACGTGCAGGGAGGGAGCTGCTCTGACCCTTCGATTCTTCCCTCCTTTCACCCTTTTTGGAAATCAAATTTGGGGAAGTATTGAAGGTGCCACCAGGGTCTCAGAGAGCAGCACACAGTTGGCCCTTGTCGACCTCCTGTCTCCTGGTCCCGCCTGCCCCGCCCGGCGCACAGCCGGCTCTGCGGGAACAGGGCCGTGAGCAGCAGCGGAGACGTCACGGCTGTTAGTGCACCGAGGGGCTGCCACGCTCTGTGGAAACAGCTGTGCCCCTGCCGGAGGGCGGCCGGGGCCAGTAGACGGGTCCTGCCGGCACCAGCAGGCCGAGCGCCCGGTGTGGCCACGTGGCCAGCCCTGCACCTTCCGTCACTGCCCGCTCACAAAGTGACCAGCACAGCCCCTGCTCCTTGCCCCGCCCCACCCCTGCTCTTGCGGGGTGCGCCTGGCCCCGGCCTGCTGGCGGCTGAAGCTGGCCGCGGACACTTCTCTCCCCCTCTCCCCACAGAGGGCGGGAGTCTGACGCCGGTGCGGGACGGCCCCTGCACCCCCAGGCTGCGCGCCGTGAGCTCCTACGGGAACATCCGCGCGGTCACCACGGCCAGGAGCCTGAACAAGTCTTTGCAGAACCTGAGCTTGACGGAGGAGTGTAAGCTGCTGAGAACCGGGTCCCTGGGTCGGACGCGTTTTGTGTGGACAGGGGCCGCCCCATTCCTGCTGTAACAGGGCAGCCTGGCAATGGCAGTGCAGCCCCCAGGACCCCACGGCCCTTCCGGGTCTCCTGAGATTGGGGGTGGGGTGAACCACACGCCTCAGTCACGCGCCACAATCCCAGTGGTTGTGGGGCCTAGAGCCGGGTGGGTGCTCCGCACTGATGTCCTCCCCGCGGCTCGGCAGCCGGTGGCGCGGTGGCGTTCTCCCCCGGGAACCTGAGCACCAGCAGCAGCGCCAGCAGCACACTGGGCAGCCCGGACGCAGAGGAGTACATCCTGTCCTTCGAGACCATCGACAAGATGCGGCGCGTCAGCTCCTACTCCGCCCTCAACTCCCTCATCGGTGAGTCCCGCCCGCACGCAGGGGCTGCTGGGGCCATGGGCTGGGGAGGGGACAGGGCCAGTCACTTCCGCTTTGAGCTGGTGACACTGGGTGGGCTGTCTGGGCCAGCCAGCTCCGCCCCACGGAGGTGCCAGGACCTCCCACCTGTCCCTGTCACGTCACAGGACAGCGGTTTTCTGCCAGGTGGGCTGCCCCCAGGGGGTGCCTGACAGGCAGCGTCCCTCACAGGCCCCACCTGAGACAGGGACACTGAGTATGAGTCAGGGGCTCCTGTTCTCGGGGCGTCCAGGCTCGTGGGGTTGGCGCATTTGGGTTCAGAACCCACGTGTGTGACAATGACAGCATTCTTCAGGTTGTCTGTGTCCTCAGAGGGGACCTTCGGTGGCTGAGTTGTGTTTTTCCAGAACCTTCCACTTCACCCCTATTTCTGAGAAACTGCCCCAGGGCGTCCCCGTGGCTCTCAGTCTCCGGGCTGCACCAGCAGCCGGCCCGCCCGGGCGAGGCCAGGCCCCCCCCCGCCCCTGGTGCATCCCTGCGCCTGAACAGCCCCTGCCTGCCCCTTCTCAGAAACACGGGGTCCGCTCACCCAGCACACAGTGTGTGGCCCCTTGGCGTGTTGTCCCCTGTCCTGGAAGTGGTGATGAGTGCAGAACCGACCAGCCCCAGGTGAGACGCCATTTTGCTGAAGTGCAGCAGGCTCAAAGTTCGGCAAGTCCCGAGGCCTGGCTGTTTTGTGAGCGCCCACGGGCCTGGCATCAGGAGCTCGCTGGGGAGAAGGGGTGACCGTTTAGGTGCCGCTGACTCTGGACTTCTCAACTGGTGTCCTCGGCACCCAGAACCCCCTCCCCACCTCAGCCGAGGGGCTGCTTGCACTCAAGCACGTGGGCCCAGGGCCAGGTGTGCTCGTAGCCCCTCCTGTGCCCGCGCCCCTGCCGGTACTCAGCACACTCAGAGCTTTGCAGCCCTGAGTGCCCCCAGCCTGTCTCGGGCCCAGTGTCGCGGTCCTCCTGCTGCTCCACACGTGTGCCAGGCCCCGCCCTGGCCCTCTCCGGAACCCTCTGTCTTGGACTCGCCGGGACGCCGAGCCTTGCACTTGAGAGAACCGCACGCCGACAGTTGAACTGTCATCGTCGTGGGCACGAGCCCGCCCATCCTAAGACCCCTTCCTGCGTGCTCTGCTCCCTTGGTAACGTCCCTGCTGCGGGAATGTGTCCCTGCGCCAGCACAGCCACAGTGGGTCAGCCTTGGTGCCTCTGCGGTTGGATTGGTGGGCCCGCTGTTGGGTGCTGTGTGTCTGAGGGGGCCCCGGACGTACCCACAGCAAGAACGCCCCTTAGCCACCTGGACACGTGGCCTGACTCCAGTCAGGGCCCAGCTCGGCTCTGCGAGGGGACGTCAGGTTGGTCTCGGTGCTGGTCTGTCTCACGAAATCAGGCCCCTGGACGGGTGTCTGCTACAGGACACTGAGCGTGGTCTTCGTGTCCCTCGAGTCTTTGAAATGCCAGTGGGAACGTCACAAGCTGAGCTGGAGGTGGGAGCGCTCAGAAGACAGTCCCCGCCCCCCCACAGGCTGGGACTCCCCTCGGACTGTGCAGCCCGCAGCATCAGAGGCACCTGAGACTTAGGTGAAGTGGGCGCAGCTCCCGCCTCCAGGGGGCCAGGCCGCTCTGCCAACCAGGGGGCTCCGGGGACCCAGAGCTGCCACGGAGCTCTGAGAAAATCTCCCTCCATCTCATGCTGTTTGGAAAGTTGTGGCCGCCGCTCCGAACAGTGAGCCCCAGGACCGCCAGTCACGCCCTGTGTGACCATTAGTCTGAACGTGAAGACAGGTTCGCGGTGCTTCAGGGCCCGGCGAGCGCCAGACAGGCCTCTCCGAGCATTCGACAGCCAGATGCGCCCCAGGGGCCCGGCTCCAGTTGCGATCGCCCCACGTTGGGGACAGATGCGCAGACGGCAGGCCCTGGGTCGGGAACGCGCACAGGCTGCGATCGCACCATGTTCTGTTTTCACCGGCACAAGGTCCCCCTGTCTGTGGTCGGGGACACAGAACCCAGGCTGTTCCTGAGGGTCGTGGAGTTGTGCCGGAGGCAGCGTCTCCGCCACAAAGTCGTCCACAGTGACAGCAGTGATTTCCTGAGAAGTAAACAGTGACGGTGACGTGTTCGTCCTGAGGCCACAGCTGGGAAGGGATGGGACTGGGACCCGGTGCCGCCCTGTGCCCACCCTCACGTCTGCACCGAGGCCATGCCCCGTCACCGCGTCCTGCTGAGAGCCTCTGCACACCCCGGCCCAGCGTGCACGGCCCCGCCCCGGGAGGCTGCTGCCACTCCTCACTGGAGGGGGAGGACCTGCGTGGCGCCCACCGTGACCTGCCGCGTCCCTGCGGAGCACTCCGCCTCCCTGCGTGGGGCTCCTGCCTGCAGTCACCCGGTGGCCCTTGTGGACGAAGCACAGTTCCAGTCGGCTGCCTCGCGGCGAAGCTGGGAACGAAGATCATAGGGAGCGTCCCGGAGCCCCTGGGCTGACTGCCCGCCTCTTCCGGCTGCACCGTGGGGTCTGGACGGCATCACAGGGACACGGGGGTTTGAGCGTCAGCAGCCTCTGTTCCGTGTCTGGCCTGTCGGGCGCAGAGGGGGAGAGGGGCCAGCGCGTGGTTCGCGTGGACCCGTCCCCGGAGCTGAAGGCTGGGGGGCAGCAGGCCACCCGGCGTGCCGCCCCAAGGACAGCTGTGCTCTCCCTCTCGCCCCGGGAGCACCGGAGCCGGACACCGGGAGCACGCAGACACGCAGACCAGGAAAGGGACAGTTTCCTCTGGCCGGGGGCCGTCTAGGCCTGCAGGGCGGCAGGTGCTGTTCGGGCCTGGCCCCCACCCGGCCACGGCACCTCTGCGCAGGCCCCCCCAGGCACAGCCGCCCCCGCACCTCTGGAATGGCAGCCGAGCCGGAGCTGCTGGAGGGCCTGTGAGCTGGGACGAGTTTTCACAGAGCGGCCTCAGAGGGAGGCCGGAGCCAGTGAGCAGAAGCGACCCCTCTCCAGTCAGTGCAGGGTATGTGCCCACACGAGGGTCCGTGCAGGGCCCACACCCAAATCTGACTGGACTCCAAGCCTTCGTGGGCCTGCTCTTGGTTTGATCGAAATCTCGCTCAGCTCAAACAGCCAGGTTGCTCAGGGGCCTTCGTATAGTTAACGGCCAAGGGGCTTCTCTGTGATTGGCCGACCGCGATGTGGGGGCGTGGCTTACTGGGGAGGCTCCTAACCTCTGTCGCTGGGCGGGCGTGGGCTCTCTGGAAGAGGCCGTGGCCTCCCCAGGGGGGAGGGGGCGGCTCTGCGAGGCCGTGTTTCGCCAGAGCCCCTGTGCCTTGGGGCAGGACCACCCCCCGTTCCCACCCGGGCTTGCCCAGGGGTGGGCACCGGCTCTTCTCCCCACTCAGCCCCTGCCCTGCTGCCAGGATGGCCTTGCCCTTCCAGCAGCCGGGCCTTGCTGTCCCCTCTGTCATCCGCGGTGATGCCTGTGTCAGGGGTTGGGGGGTCAGATGGCCTTGAGCAGCCTGCACACAGCCCGCCCCTCTCCTTCCCTTCCCACATGGGCCATCACACGTGAGCGTGTGTGAGTGCACACACACTCTGTCCCGTCAGCCTACAGTGGGCACACAGACGGGCTCTGCATGGAGGACACTCAGGAAGTGTTGCTGGGTGTCCTGGGAGGTCCTGGGGTCTCAGGTCGTGTCACGGGCCCCCGTGACGTCTGGGGGCTCAGGGACAGTGCGGCCCGTGCTGCGTGAGTGGATGACTGAGCCTGGAGCCCGCTGGGGGTGGAGGAAGGGGTGGGCACTCCCCCAGCGTGTGCCCTCAGGCAGGTCACGGTGGCTGCCAGAAGTCCGGACAGAATCAGGCAGCCCAGGAGCCCAGTGCTCACTGGGAGCCCGGCACCAGGCGGGAAGTCCTGCCCTTTTCTGACTCACCTTCCTTCCAGAGGGATTTCTGCTTAGAAGGGGGCAGTGCCCCCAGAAGAGCTACCGGAGCCCCCGTGGCTGCCTTCCCTGACCCGCCGCCGCCTTCTCCCCACAGGCGTGTCCTTCAACAGCGTCTACACGCAGATCTGGAGGGTCCTCCTGCATTTGGCCGCAGACCCCTACCCGGACGTGTGCGACCTGGCCATGAAGGTGCTCAACAGCATCGCCTACAAGGTGTGTGTGCCGCCGCACCCCCGGCCCCTTCCCAGCCACGTGGGTCCCGAGGGACCTCCAAGCCCGGCCAGGTCAGCCCCTTGGCTCAGATACAGCCACCACATGCCCGGGACGTGTTCCCTGCGACTGCTTCTCATGTCAGGGCACCAGGTGACGAAGCTCAGCCCGAGAAGCCTGTGGAGGTGGCCCTGGGCCTGGCTGCTCCCACCCTGGACGTCCTGGCTGCAGGAAGCCCACTTACAGAGCCGCCTGGCTGGGTCGGCCCCCGCCTCCTGCAGCCTTTGCTTCCCGTTGGGCTGGCACCCCGACTCTCCTCCGCCCTCCTGCTGCTCTGGGTGCAGCCTGCTCTCTGCGTAGAACAGGGACTGGCCAGCATGGGGAGGGGCCTCTGCCGAAGCTCCCGGCCCAGGCACCCACCCCACCCCCCAGCGCTCCACACTGGCGCACCACAGCCAGGCCGTCCGCTCGACCCTGAGGCCCCTCCCACTGCAGCCCACAGGCGGCGCCCAGCAGACACGGGCTGATCTGACGGGAACCGTCAGGCTGTGGGAGGCTCCGGCCCAGCCTGGGACCCCGACTGTCCCGGGAGAGCCGTGGCCGAGGCATCTCCAATGCCCACTGCACCAGGCCTGTCCCCACTGTCCCCACTGTCCCCACTGTCCCCACTGCAGCAGTCAGAGGGCGGCCACTGCCGGTGTGAGCAGCATTCAGGAGGGGCCGTCTGGTCGGCCTGGAGGGGTACAAAGTCCAACCCAGTGCACCCCCAAAGACTGAGTCACTGGGCGCCCACTCGCTGTCACCCTGGAGCCTCCTTGAAGGGGGCAGGTGGGCGGGGCCCAGGAAGCAGCAGAGTGGGAGGAGGGTCCCTGGGGAAGTGGGACTCCTGAGTCACCGCCCCAGCGCACAGTCCGCATTTCGAAGCAGTGTGCACCCGATGACACCTTCTCACCAGCCCCTGAAGTCCCCACAGTCTCACCCCCACCAGCTCCCAGCGCTGGTCGGGGGCTGGAGGGGATGCATTCGTGTGTGTGCATGCACGTCTGTGTGTGAGTGCGTGTGTCATTTCCAACTCATTTCTACTCATCTCCCTGGCATGGTCACTGTCATTTCCAACTCTCCCCACATCCTCATGGGAAGAGGAAGGCAGAGCCACCTTCGCCTGAGTGCCAGCGTCCGGGGGACCGTCCTGGGTGTGAACCATCAGGCCCACAGTGGGCGCTCCTGGTCTCATTGGTGCCTGGAGCCCAGAGAGCTTTCTCTCAACTTCCTGGGGCCCAGCCCTCTGAGCCCTGGTGGCCACCTGGGGCCACACTGCACCCGGGCAGACAACTGCTAGAAAAGCACAGCAGCCCCAGCTGGTGTGGCTCAGTGGACTGAGCACCGGCCTGTGAACCAAAGGGTCGCTGGTTCAGTTCCCAGTCAGGGAACTTGTTCCTGGTCTACAAGTCTGGGTTGCAGACAAGGTCAGATCTCCAATGTCGGGGGCGTACAAGAGGCAACCACATATTGATGTGTTTTACCTCTTTTAAAGGAAAACTAAAAAAGAAAAGATAAGCAAAGCAGTATCATTTCACCTGCAGGGTGACTTTGGGGGCGTTTACAGCTGGCACCTTTGCGAAGAGCGAGGTTCCCTGCGTCACAGGGGCTTTGCTGCTGAAGCCACGCAAAGGCAGCCCAGCCCGTACTGGTCTTGTGGCCGACCGTCCATGTCTCGGGTCCCTTGCCCTCGCAGGCCACCGTGAACGCCCGGCCGCAGCGCATCCTCAGCACGTCCTCGCTCACCCAGTCGGCGCCCGCCAGCCCCACCAACAAGGGTGTGCACATCCAGCAGGCGGGGTGAGTGGTCGAGGCCGCCCCTGCCCCCCGCCTGCCAGCCCCATGCACCACGCGCCCGCGTGCCCCGCCGTCCCCTCTCCCACACCCCTGCGGTCTCCAGTCTGAGCCCTGCCCGCCTTCGCGGCACACACGGAGCAGCAGACCTGAGCAGAGCCTGACCTCCATGGCTGCTCACTGAGACTGAGGGAGGGTCTACAAACCCCGTCAGACCCGTGGGGGGCCGGTGCCCACCCGAGGGAGGGAGGCTGTGTGCTGAGTCCCAGGACTGCAGATCCGTGCATGCGCCGGGCCGGTTCGCCAGGTCCTGGCTGCGGTCTTTGGCTCGGCATCCGCGGCAGGTGTGTGGAAGTCGGGTTGGCAGGTCGGGGGATTGCAGGCGTCCGAGCTGATGACCCCAGGCCACGGCTGCATCTGGGGGTGACCGGGGGACTCTGGTGTCTGGCGTCAGGGTGATGGAGTCAGGGTGATGCCATGTGTCTTTCCCCAACGGCAGAGGCTCCCCTCCAACATCCAGCACAAGCAGCTCCAGCCCGACCAGCGACGCGGCCAAGCAGCCGGTCAGCCGAGAGCTGCCTGCAGGCCGATTGGGTGCTACTGGGCCCACGGGGGTGCAGTACACGCCCCACTCCCACCAGTTCCCCCGCACACGGAAGATGTTCGACAAGGGCCCAGACCAGGTGGGTGTCTTGCACCCTGTGTGACTCAAGGCAGTCACACTCTGATTCCAGTGGGGGGGGGGGGGTGCCGACGGCTTTGCTCCTCAGCCCTTGTGGTGGCCGTGTCCGAGAACTCCGCGCCTTGTCCTGGGTGGACTGCTCTTGGCAGCGTCCCTGTGACGAGACCAGGCCGAGCCACTGGTTTGCTTTCCTTTCACGGGAAATGCATTTTACCACTGCTGGGCATGGCCAGCGGCCCACGGGGAGAGGGTCGAGTATCTGCATTTCAGGGGGTGGCTCACTAACGGGGGACACCCAGGCTGGGTCCTGGGGGTCTCGGCCAAGGTCACGTGGCCTGCAGGGTGCCCTTGGAGCAGGAAGAGCAAGCTGGCGATGGTCTCACAGGTGCCACCAGCCCTGCCCACCCCATGGCTGTGACGCAGAGGCAGACGCACACTGTCCTCGGGCCTGGTCCCGGAGCACAGTGCTGTGGTGGCAGGGTGGGCGAAGTCTCCCCCAGGCAGAGTGGCACCTGTTACTGCATCTGCCGTGGGGTTCCCACCAGGCAAGCCTCCTGGGTGGCCAGGGCTCCTCCCTGAGGGTCCCCTCCTGTCCCACCACCCAGTCAGTGCCCTGCGGGGTCATCTTGGGCCAGGGGCTCAGACTCTGACAGCCCAGCCATCAGAGGTCCTGCAGCAGGTAACGCAGTGTCCGGTAGGCAGCATGATGCTTTAGGTGTGACTCTCGCAGGTACCGGGCAGCCTCGAGCTCCGCCAGAGCACGTCCCTCCCAGGGCCGGCGCACCGTTGTTGGGGCGCCCGAGTGCTGCCCCATCGGTGCTGCAGCCCGAAGCTCATGGGGACCCCTGACCTGGCACTGACAAGCCTGTCCAACTGGCTCGGGACAGGGGCACCAAGCCACCCTCAGGCCCTAGGCAGGGACACAGCTCCCCGTATGCAGACTCGGGTGGCCCTCCCTAATGCCAGTTCCTGGAACCCTGTCCACACACCCAGGGCCCCAGGGCCACCCGGACACAGGGGCAGTGCCACCCACCTCTGCCTTCTGTCCAGCACAGCTGCCCCTGCGATGCACATGCACAGAGGCAGGGTGCCTGTCTCACCATCTCTGTCCCCTTCTCCCCTCCCCACACGCCCGGAAGACCGCCGATGACCCAGACGACGCTGCCGGACACAAGAGCTTCATCTCGGCCACAATGCAGACGGGCTTCTGCGACTGGAGTGCCCGGTACTTCGCCCAGCCCGTCATGAAGGTACTGCACCATTCGCCCTGGGGCAGAGGGCGCGCCCAGCTGCCCCCTGGGCCACGCTCAGGTCCCGCAGCGCCTCCCTCTAGGGCACCTGGGCCTCAACTCTTAGCTGGTGGCCCGGGCCACCCGGCGTGGGGACCCCACTGGCCTGGGACCTGGGCCGTGACCTGAGGCGGAGCAGGCGGTAAGGGCCCTGCTGCACCAGCTGCTGGCACTGTCCCTCTGGGACTCCTGTCCCGCCACCTCTGCAACCGTTGGAGGGTAACACCAGATTGCTGTCATGGTAGCTGGTGGCCACAGTTGAAATAAAACAGCAAAAGAAATAGACTTCACTTGCTTTCCTGTTTGCCCCGCAGAGAGGGAGGGAGGGAGCGGGGGAGAAAGGCTGCCGCTTCTGAGCTTGCCCTGTGAACTGCCCCGGTTCCTCGTGCCTGGCTAGGCTACCCCAGGCTTGTCGGCCCCTCCAGGTGGGGGCAGCCTGCGGCCTGTCCCCAGGCTGTGCCAGGCGGCTCTGCGCTTTGGAGACCGGTGTCGCTGATTTTCCGGAAGACCTGTCCTCCGGGGCTGATGCTGGCGTGCCCGGCTCATTCCATGAGGCTGCCTCACAGGCTTGCCCCTGCCACGGTTGTGACACAAGTGTCCCTGTGCCTGCAGATGTGAGCCACACGCACGGTGACAGCCGACACTGCTTTGTCGGGGCGGCACCTGGGGCCGTCCTCCCCTGACTCCCCTGGACTCTGGCTCCCAGGAAATGCCCCTCATGTGGCTCCTTGAAAATGAAGCTGCAGCTTGTTCCTCGTCACAGGGCGAGCGCCGCGTCCCAGCAGCTCCCGGGAAGGGTGGGCCTGCTTCCCGCTCTCTTCCCCCCCAGAGTGGGACGTGTTTGTCAGTAAAAACGGAATGCTCGCCGTCACGGCCGCGGCAGGTAATGCCTTCCAGCCCGTTGAGACTGGGGATGAAGAGGGACAGGAGGCCCGACTTCTCTGGCGCAGAGCGCGGTCTGGCCGTGGCGCCAGCGCCTTGCACAGCCACACCCCCGACCCGGCCAGGTGTCGCTGGGGTGTTACCCCCAGGGAGTGGCCGCGTTAGGGACCTTCTGGGCGAGACTTGTACAGCCCACGGAATGAGGACCTGCCCGGATCCGCCACTGAGGGAGGAAGGCCACAGGCAGTGAAATACTTTGTCTTCTCGGAGCTGTTCAAAAATCCAGCTCAAAAAGTGACGTAAGGAAACGCTTCCAGCAAGACTATCGGGAAGAAGGAAAAGCAAGACCCAGGCTGAGTAGAGAGCAGTCACCCTGTAGTGCGGTCACAGTTGTGTGCCCCCTGGGTGCGCATGGCACGTCATACACCTGAGCCCAGAAAAAAGACGGAAGCCAGTCCTGACGGGACCCCAGAGGACCCGAGGCGGTGGCTCTGAGGACGCTGCTTCCGGGGCACTTCCATCTTCTGCACGAGCCTCTCCCTCCTCAGAACAGAGGTGGGGCAGCAGCAAGGTCACCATGGCCCGTGGGCCAGGCTGCCCCGAGGCCAGCCTGCCCACCGCTGCTCACCTGCCTGTGGCTAGCACGTCGCCCCCGTGGGCCGTGGACGGCACCCCTCCCAGCCCCAGGAGGGAAGAGGGGGCCTGCTCGGAGCTTGGAGCAGACACGGCAGGGCACAGGCCCGGGGGAACCAGTCGCCCTTCGGAGCTGTGGTGCCAGCTGTTGAAGTCCAGGGTTCCATTTAACACCGACAGGACTCAGCTTCCTGGAGATGTTTCACCGCCTAAGACCGGCACGGCCAAGCCGTCCCCGTGGCAGGGGTCTGGTCCGCTGTCCCACTGAGGGTCGGGGGCTGTGAGCTGTGCTGAGTCCCACGGGCGAGGCACCGCTGCTCTTTGAGACGTGCCTGCTCTCGGTCCCTGCCTGTGGCCCGGGGAGGAGCGGCGTAGGTTACCCCGAGCTCATTTCTCTGAACTTGAATGTGAGTCTCACTTGTTCCCCAAGGGTCTGCCTCCCTGCCCTCGGCGTTGGGGTCCGCCCTCGACATGGGTGTCCGTGGGTGTCACTCGCGTGCAGGCCCACAGCCGGCAGCAGCTGCTCCGTGGCCAGTGCCAGGCCCCTGGCAGCACAGCCCCCGGCCCCGTGGGTTTCTGCCGCTGCACCTGGGAGGGCGTCTGGTTCCTGCCGGGGCTGGGCGGGGGCAGGGGGGCATCCGCCGCATCACCGGCCCGGAGGAGACAGGCCCCAGTGACACACTGTGCGGCCCCTGGAGCGTGGGCAGGGACCCGGGGGGAGGACAGCAGTGTCCACTGGAGACTATTCCGGGCGGTCACCACCAGGCTCTGGAGGCAGTGGGGTCGGTGTCTCCCCTGCCACACACGCGGAAACAGTTCCGCGTGCCTGGACCTTCAGTGACAAGCCGAGTGTGGTGAGGGACAGCAGAGCTCCGTGCAGTCAGCCTGTCTGGAACTGCTGACGGCAGCTGGGATGTTGGGGCGCAGAAGGGCTTGGGCGACAGTTTTCCTTTATACCAGTTAGAAACCTTTTTTTTTTTTGATACTTTATTTCTTTATTTCTAGAGGGGAGGGAAGGAGAGAGGGAGAGAAACATGAATGTATGGTTGCCTCTTGTGTGTCCCCTGCTGGGAACTGGCCTGCAACCTTGGCATGTGCCCCGACTCGGAATCGAACCTTGATCTCTTAGCTAGCAGGCCCATGCTCAATCCACTGAGCTACACCGGCCGAGGCTAGAAACCTTTTATAAACTCGTGTTTTATCTCATTTCTTACCATTTCTTTTCTACTTTTTCAAGGTGGTACTCACAATGTTATTTAATTAATTACCTAATGACGTGTTTGTGCAATAAAACACTGGGGACTTCTTTATTAGCCTGTGCTACATGGAAACTAAACAGAGCTCTCGGCTGGGACCTCTCTCAGCGATGGGACCCCCACCCTGAGCGCTTTGGGGGTGGGGGGAGGCGGAGTGCTGGGCAGAACGAATGGTGCACAGTGTTCCTGTCACGTGGGGCTGGCAGTGGGGGCGGGGGGCACCCCGAAGCATGTGGGGGAGAGAGGTCCCGCTGGGTGTCCTCTGAGGGAGGAAGCCGCCCCCTCCCTCTGCCCTGGGGGCCCCCAGGTGCCCGTGTGCTTTGGGAAGGACGTCGAAGGTGCGCCGTGTGCTTCTGAAAGACGCATTGGAGTTTGTTCCGACTGCGGGAGGAAGAGGCCCTTCCTCGCAGGGGCAGGTTGCCCACCTCACTTTGTGCAGAGGCTGGCTTCCCGGGGTGAGCGGGGACGGGAGCTCCCAGGTCCTGCTGGCGGGCTGGGCACTTCAGTCGCAGGTTTTAAAGTCACAGAATGGTGGCCCTGAGCCCCGCCAGGCCCGCTCAGGGGGAGGTGCAGTGGGCGTGTCCGCAGACGCCCACTCCGGAGGGTCTGTAGTAGCAGGACGCACCGGAGAGAGGCCTCCACTGGGAGGGACTGGCCCGGAGACGGTGCAGCCACACAGCGGCGCCCTGCACGGCCACTCCGGTGCGGGCGCCATCTCCTTGGAGCCTGGTCTGTTGGCACAGCCTGGGCGGTCCCTCCGAGCTGTGGGGGCAGCAGCTCCTGGAAGGTGCGGCTGCGGTTCGGGAGACCAGCTGGCCCGACATGATGGGCTTTGGGGCTCTTTCTGAATCAGTCATGTGCCTGAGCATGTCCCCACCTGAGGAAAAGCCACAGGGTCATCGCAGCTACAGACCAAGGACTGGACAGGGTTCATCAGCCGTTCACAAGAAAGACGCTCAGCCAGCTGGGGACAGATGGACGTGTTCCTCGTACAGGCCGCCCAACAGCCTGCAATTGGCACCCTTCTCGTCGCAACAAGACGGTGGTTTTCTCTGGAATCAGGGAAGCTGAGGCCGGGGGTCTGACCTCTTCATTCCTACACCCCACCCTGCTGGCCGGTGGCCGACGGAGGGCTGCTGGCATGAGTGACCTGCGGCGACCACAGCGCAGGGTCTGGGGCATCACACAGACGACCAGCTGTGTTTCTCTGCGAATTTAAACCCTTCGCAGTAGCACCCCACTCCACCCCACCCCAACCCCCAAAAAAGCCACAAGGTGTAAACCACAAAGCAAGTGCGTGGGAGGCCCGGAGTGGGAAGGCGCTGCGCACCGATGACGTCGGCAACAGCCCCCACCGGCGGGGGTCCCGGCCGTGGTGGGGGACTTGCGGCAGAGTCCTCTCCTGAATCGGTCTGTGGGCTGGCACAGTCTCTCAGTCCATGTCACAGCGGGTCCTCCTCACGGCGACGAGCCTCTTCTAAAACATCAGGGGAACAAAGAAAGTGGGACACGGCGGGAGGACTCACACGGTCTCGTCTCAAGACTCGCCACGGAGCCAAGCGGTCGGGGAGGCGGTGAGCCGTGGTGCGCCTGCTGGTCCGCGGGCCGGGGCGGCGCGGCTCGCTGGTTTTCAGAAGGGCGGCCCTCGGCCCCGCAGGAGCGAAGTCCATGTGAGGCGCAGCCCTAAATTCGAAGCCTTCAGCCACGAAACTTCCAGAAGAAACTCTTCATGGCCCAGGGTCGGGTGATGGTTTCCTTCTTTTTTAAGATTTTTATTTATTTTTAGAGAGAGGGGAAGGAAGGAGAAGGAGAGAAACATCAGTGTGTGGTTGCCTCTCACATGCCCCCCACTGGGGACCTGACCCGCAACCCAGGCATGTGTCCCGACTGGGAATCGAACCGGCGACCCTTTGGTTCCCAGGGTGGCACGGGATCCACTGAGCCGCACCAGCCAGGGCTGTGGTTTCTTAGTAAGATGCGAAGAGCACAAGCCCACAGGGACCCAGTGACGACCTTTCTGAGCAGCACTGTGAAGAACATGGGTGCACGGACCGCAGGTGGACGATGGGTTGTGAAGTGTGCGTCTAAAGTTGGCCGCCGCTGGGGGCGTGCGGCGGCGGAGGAGGTCCCACCGTGACGGCAGCTGCCCCAGGAGCTCAGACGTTGCGGCACAAATGCAAGCGTCACAGACCCTGGAAGCGGTCGGCTGCTCCTCATCCCGAGCCTAACACCCCAACCGGCAGCCCCGCCGCTCTGCCCCCAGCGTCCACCCAGGAACCTGTGGCCGCTCCCAGTGGCTTCCCTCATAATCACCAGGGACCAGGGACCACCCCGGCCTCCTCCACCGGCCAATAGACCGAGGCAGAGCCGCGCGGCGCAGCGTGAGCCGGACTCAGCCGCTCACCAAATGGTCTGCTTGCCCAGCATTCCGGAAATCGGGTGGGTGGGTGACGGTGGGGGCCGCTGCGCTTGGGGGGGAGCTGCCCCCGGTCCCGATGGCATGGCTGTGTGATGAAGCACTTGTCAGAAGTCAGAACTCGGCCCCAAAAGGAGAGGTGTCCTGCGTGTGAACTCCATCTCGGTGACCCCAGGGCGGGGAAGTGCCCTAGGAATGACAGTGCCCACATTTGTGCCCCTCCAGTGTGTGGTTCCGAGAGCTGTGGGCACGGGCCCGCCCTGTCCCTCTGCCCGCCACTCAGCCCGCCAGGTCCCTCCCGTGCCACCGGGGGGTCTCGTCTCGTTGTTCCTCCATGTTGTTGGCTGCCCATCATTCTCCCTCCGACAAGCTCGCGAGTGACTCCAACTGGTGAAGCCCGTGCTCCCTCCCAGCTGCCACCTGCCGGCTGTCCGTGCGTCTCTGGCACCTTCTCTCCTTGTCTTCCTGTTTCCTGTCCTTGTCACTGTTTGGTTGGAGGTGGATTTGTGACTTTCTTTAAGGAAAAAAAAGAGGGAGCATAAATGGCAACCCGGAAATCAGAGGCCTCTGGTCACCTGTGCGCAGACACTGGCATGAGGTTCAGGGTGTGTTCGTTATGTGGTCAAACGTCACGAGGCATCGAGGAGACACAGAATGTTCCGGGCGACACAGACTGCTGTCTGTGTAGAAGCCCTTTCGTGTCTCAGCCTCGGCCACACGGGCATGTGCGTGTGGGCGCCCGAGCCAGCAGAGGAGACCACCCCACACTGGCGGCAGGCAGGTCACGGCACACTCCCGGTCTCGGCCCTCTGCCTGGGGAAGCCGGATGGCTCCTTGCTTGCCTGGTTTCTCCTGTGTTCAGGGACTTCACAGCCCTGTGGGGTCCATTGGGGAGCCAGGGTTGGCCCAGGTCACTGGGCTGTGTGTGACTGAGGAAACATGTCCTTGTTATTCAAACAAGCGATCACACTCGGAATAGATGCGGGACGTCAGTCCCAGCTCATTGCTGGCTAAGTGCTGCTCTCCCTTACACACGTGTTTTGCACACCCATCTGTGGCCCCAGCTTTCGTGCACACACAGACCATGACCAAGAGGGAGCAGAGAGCGGTTTGTGCACACCCCTGTTCCAGGGGAGGCGTGCCCAGGGTCCCCGGGCGGCAGCAGGTGCTGGCGCGGGTTCGCAGGGCTGCAGCTCAGCTCCCCTGACGCTCAGCACAGTGGGTGGCCAGGTTGGGGAGCGTGGCTCCCAGAGGGGCCGGCCTGCCTCCCCACTGCCACGGGCAGCCCTGCCCTGGTCGCTCTCCTCCGTCACTTGTTATCCAATGATGCCCGCTTTCCTGTGGCAAGGCGTCTGAGCAGCGCCCCCTGCCCCCCGATTTGCGTTTTAAGTGCGTGAAGTGTCTATGGGCCTGGCCTGGTCCCTCCTGCAGAAAACGCTCCTGGGCTCCGATCCCGGCCCCTCACTTCCCGGAAGCATCGTGCTCACTGTGAAAGTGGTGCATCCCGTTGCCCTTGTCGGGAGGTGGCCACACATTCAGCTTCCCCGCTGGGTCCTTGGTCTCTGCTCCCGACCATGGAGGCCCAGCACCCTCCCCAGCCCCACCCCATCCCAGGCCTCAGAGCCTCCGACCCAGCAGGAGGGGGGGCGGCTCCCGTGTGCCCAGAAGCTCAGGGACCAGCCCTGCGTCCGTCTCCGCCATGCACCCTGTGCTGGGGCCTTGGCGCACAGGCCGGGCCAGAGCGCCCGGTCCCTTGGCACGTGGGGAGGAAGGGCCTTCCCTGCAGTGGACGACAGCCGTCCCGGGGCCGAGGCCGACACGGTGGGTTTTGTGGCCGCAGATCCCGGAGGAGCACGACACGGAGAGTCAGGTCCGCAAGGAGCGGGAGTGGCGGTTCCTGCGCAACAGCCGGGTCCGGAAGCAGGCTCAGCAGCTCATCCAGAAGGGTGAGGCCCCCCACAGCCCACCCACGGGGGCCAGGCGGCGTGTGTGCGAACACGGAAAGGAGCGGCAGGAGCAGGCCCCCCCGAGGCCCGGGTGTTGGGGGGCTGATCCGTAGTCACACTGACTGTGGAGTGAGGCCCGCGTGCATCTCTCGGCTCAGGCATCACTAGGCTGGACGACCAGATCTTCCTGAACCGGAACCCCGGCGTCCCCTCCGTGGTCAAGTTCCACCCCTTCACTCCCTGCGTGGCTGTTGCCGACAAAGACAGCATCTGGTGAGCTCCGCTGGTGGCAGCTCGGTCTGGGTGAGGGTGTGAGCCCCGCCCCTGCCCCGCCGTCCTGCCATCCCTAACTATTCTCCTTCCCCAGCATCAGCAATAAGGGGGGGCCCTCAGCCACCGTCAGCCTAGCTGCCTCACACCTGCCAGGCTCGGTGCTCAGCCCTTTCTGCCTGTTCACGCCCACCCCCCACGCTCCTCCCGGGCCCCCCCTTCACTGCCTGAGGGTGCGCGCCCCCGCGCCTCTGGTCTGTCCCCCGGAGCGGGGCCCCGGGTCCCTGGCCCTGTGGAATGAGCGGCAGGAGCCCGTGTGCCGGGCCTGGTGCCCCGGCGTCCCTGTTCCTGCACGTCCCGTGTCACCTGTCCTCTGCGAGTCCCTGGTGGTGGCCGTCCCGGGGAATGGGTTTCATGGCCGCTCCTCTCTTGTTGCCCTAAGCTTTTGGGACTGGGAGAAGGGGGAGAAGCTGGACTACTTCCACAACGGGAACCCACGGTACACCCGCATCACCGCCATGGAGTACCTGAACGGCCAGGACTGCTCGCTGCTGCTCACGGCCACAGGTGAGTGGGCAGCGCCCAGGCCAGCACAGAGCCACACGAGTCGCCTGAGGCCCAGGGCCCGTCCTCAGCCACGAGCGAGGGCTGCCGTCGTGAAGTGGCTGGTGTGCTTTGGAGGGGAGGGCCTCTCCCACTCTTAGCTGGGAAAGCGCGGTGACCCGCGCCGGCTGGTTCCGTGTCCGCCTCTGGGACCCAGTGCTTCCCCGGCCAGGCGGGCACCTGCGGCCTCTGTCCCTGCAGCCTCTGCCCCTGCAGCCTCTGTCCCTGCAGGCTTCAGGAAGCCCACAGGGAGGGTAAGGGAGGTGGGCCCCACCACCCCATGGGCCGAGTCTCCAGCCGCCTCTGCAGGTCAGGTTCCCTCTTCCTGGTGATCACCTCCCAACTGCTGTCCTGTCCCGTCCCGTCCTGTTCTGTCCCATCCTCTCCTGTCCCATTCTGTTCCATTCTGTCCTGTCCTGTTCTGTCCTATCCAGCTGTGTCCCAGGCTCCTGAGCCACTAAGACAGTTGAGCTGGTCGCACTGACCATGCGATCTTTCTCTTTTCAAAGTGTTCCTGGCCGCCCAGTGAAGGGCTTGCTGGGGGGGCGGGGGGAGCAGGTCCTGCTGGCAGCCATTGTCCCAGATGAGGCCAGGCTGCTCCCCAAAGCCAGTCCCATCGGCTGTGGGCGTCACAATGAAGAGGGCAATGCGGGAGGCCAGCCCGGCTCACAGAGGCTTGGGACAGGTCGCCCGGCACCTCTGGGCACCAAGGACAGGGGAGGGGTGACCCAGGTGCAGCGGGCCCAGGAGAGGAACCGAGGGTCCTTCCCGAGTGGCCCAGGGGAGAGGCCACACTCGAACCCCAAAGCAGGGCATGCTCACTGTCCCCGAGCTCAGGGAGCGTCTCAGGCATTTCCCAGGCGACTTTGTCCTCCTGCAGTGGGAGGTGGGGCTGGGCGGCCGGTCACCCCGCAGAAGACAGGCTAAAGGGCCACCGTGGGGCCAGGGCCCAGGCCGGGTGAGGGGCTAGTGAGGCTGGGCCCAGGTTCCCAGTGGGCGCGACACCAGGAGGAGGAACGGCCACATGGGGCACCCACCTCACTGCTGTCTGCCAGGGCACACGGGGCCACACGTCCACACTGGGCGAGTTTCCGGAACAAGAGCAGTGGCCTGTCTCCAGAGGAGGCTCCTGGCTTCGGGGGTGCACAGACGGGAGGGAGGGACGGGCCAGGGCTCTGCGCCTTGGTGGGACTGGCTCTTTCCCTCCCGAGCTGTCCCTGGGGCAGGAGCAGGGGGAGAGGCTGAGGGCGGCGCCTCCACTGCTGCACGGCCGAGTGGGGGCCTCCCGGATGACGTGGCCATCCCACGTCAGCGCTGGGAGCCGGGCCTGCGCTCTGGTCACCTCCCCTTCTCCCCCCAGATGACGGCGCCATCCGGGTCTGGAAGAATTTCGCCGATTTGGAAAAGAATCCAGAAATGGTGACCGCATGGCAGGGCCTCTCGGACATGCTGCCGACAACCCGAGGTGCGTCCACCCCGGTGGCCAAAGGAGGTCCCAGCGACGCTGGGAGGGGTTCTGGGGGGCGGGGGGGCCTGCGGTTCCTCATCACCTCGGGTAACAGCTCCTGCAGGCCGTCGAGTTCACGGCGGTTCTGGAAGCGTGACCCAGCCGGCACCCCCGGAAAGCACCGCTCCCTGGGTGGCGGGCCGCATGGGGTGACACCTGGCCGGCCCCGACCTGTCTTGGTGCGTCCCCAGCGGCGTGCACCTGTGCCCAGCCCTCATCCCTGGCTCGGAGGCAGAGTTGCTGGGAGAAGCCTTGTTGCCGGCCGGGCCAGAGACCTGCGTTCTGTGCTGTCTGTGCCCAAACGGATGCCCTTTGTGGGGCAAGTGCCCAGGGGTCGCCGACTGTGTGCTCGCGTCTGGGCACTGGAAGCCGTTTGCACGCACCTGGCCGGCCCCAGGCCCGTGGTGTGGTGGTAGAACCGAGCCGGGGGTGTGGGGGTGGCTGCCCTCACAGGTGACAGACGCCAGTCCTGCCTGCCGTCCTGGGCCCGGGCAGGAGTCTCGGGGGCCCCTGGTCCCGCTTCCGGGCTCCCTGTCCCCACGGACGTCAGGATCAGGCTGCCCTGGTGCCGATGGAGCAGGGGCACTTCTCTGTCCTTCCTGCCCACTGGGGCGTCCACACCTTCGTCCACCCCCCGCACGGCCTTGCCGGGCCGTGACTTGGCAGGACCCGAGCCAGTGGCTCCGTGCCAGAAGGCCCAGGAGCAAGGTTGGGGCAGGCCCTGCCTCCTCCTTGCAGAGGGAGGCTGAGGGAGGCTTCGGGGAGGCCCGTGCCCAGTGCCCCACAGGCCTGGCCCTGAGGGAGCACTCGCTCCTCCCCACCCCGCTTCCTGACACTTCGGGCCACTGCCACGTGTCCTGCCCCTCGTGCAGGTGACACAGGGAAGTCCAGGTGACATCCTGTGCTCCTGAGGAGTCTCTGGATCAGCCATGGGGCTTGGAGGCACTGGCAGGGTCCCCACGAGAGCCCGACTCACAGGGCATCCGTGTCCGTCCCCGGGAGGCAGTGCAGGCCACCGTCCCTTAGGGCCATGCTCACACCTGCGCCCGAAGGGGAGGAGCTGGTGAGTCCAGAACCATGGCTCCCAGGGCATTTGAGCTTGGCGGTGATAGGACCTCAGGGGCCAGCCCCCAACGATGGGGTCCAGGGAGGTCATTCTGGACTGGCCGCTGACCCAGAGGGCTGAGCACAGACGGCACAGACCTGAGACTCCGGAACCCGTCGGTCACTGGGCTCCACCTTCTGGTTTCTCGCCCTGCTCCGCGCAGCCACAGCTGAAGGAGGGCGCTCCCTCAGCGGCCAGGCGTGGGGTCAGGGCACGTGCGTGGGGCCTGTGTGCTGGCGGATGTGGTTTGCCAGGCAGGGCTGAGGCCTCAGCACTTAAAGTTCTGGACGCGACCGCCGCAGAGCCGGGGCTCCTGGGTCAGACCCGTCGGCTGCCACACCCAGAGTAGAGCAGGGAGGTGCCTCTGCTGGGGCGCCCGGAGCAGCCTGCCTGCTCCCCAAACACCAGGGCACCGAGCTGCCCCTGCCGGAGGGCCAGGAGGCCAGTGAGGGCGAGGGGGGGGCGCTGCCCCTCCGGTGGATGCCGGGTCCAGCAGGAATCTGGAGATCCACCGGTGGGCCGGCGGAGCGTCTGCCGTAACAGGCTCCCGCGGTAACACTGGTGCCGGCCCCTCTGCGCAGGAGCCGGGATGGTGGTGGACTGGGAACAGGAGACCGGCCTCCTCGTGAGCTCAGGGGACGTGCGCGTCATCCGCATCTGGGACACGGACCGTGAGGCAAAGGTGCAGGTAACCTCCCGGCACCGCTGCCGGTACTGTCCTCAGAAAACCGGGACCGAGGGTTTTCCCGGGGACCCAGACGAGAGGGGCCTTGGTGCTGGGAGCCTTGTGGTCAACCCCGGAGGCTCTCGAGACCTCCCGCCTTGAGGGCTAGGCGTGTGGGGGCCTCCCAGACCCCCCCCAAGTACACACACAGTGGGACACGAGTCACGCCGTGACCTGCCCGGCAGTGTCATTAAGCCTGGGGCTCAGCACCCGGGGCCTCAGGGAGTCTCTGCTCCTCCCTAGGACATCCCCACGGGAGCCGACAGCTGCGTGACCAGCCTGTCCTGCGACTCCCACCGGTCCCTCATTGTCGCCGGCCTTGGCGATGGCTCCGTCCGCGTCTACGACAGAAGGATGGCCCTTGGTGAATGGTAATCTGGCCGAGCCTTCCCTCTGGGCACCCCCTGGACGCCAGGGGCCATGTTTTAGCCACACTGAGACCCCTCTTCCCGTGAGCCATGGACCGGCCATCCAGGGCCAGGGGCTGGCCAGGCACCGCCTCTCCGAGCTTGGTTTCCCGGGGGGCGGCCGCCCGAGAAGGAGACGGGGCCAGGGAGCCACGTGTGGGCACTGGGCGGGGCGGGCGCTGCAGGGCAGGTGTCCACACTCTGGGGAGCTGGTGTTCCCCTGCTGGTCACTCACCCGAGGCCGCACGGCTGGTTGCAACGGCAGCCCCGCCCCAGAGCCGTGGTTGTCCCTCGCTGGGCTCTGACCGCGCACCTCGCCCGCAGCCGCGTCATGACCTACCGGGAGCACTCGGCCTGGGTGGTGAAGGCCCGTCTGCAGAGGCGCCCCGAGGGCCACATCGTGAGCGTGAGGTGAGGAGCCAGGGCACTGCCGGGGCGTCTGCGGGAAACGTCGTTTTCCCTCTGGTTGAGACGCACGCTGGGTGTTTGGCTGCGGGGGCAGGGGCGGCATTCGGGGCGGTGATTGACTTTTGCTCTGGGACTGGCCAGAGAAGGCAGGACACACCATCGTCCCGCCCTCTGGGCAGCCTTGCCAGGTGCTGGGGGGCCGGCTCGGCGGGGGCTGGGGAGCGGGCGCATGGCGGCAGGGGTTGCCCGCCCGTAAACCCATTTCTGCAGCTGGTAAGTCCTGTGCTGAGAGCAGCAGGTATTCATTCGTTTGCCCGTTAAAGGGACAGCAAAACATTATTTGTTGTCAGGGCCACCGTGTCTTCCAGCAGCTGCTCCCTCCCTCTCCCGTTTGTGATACAAAAACAGAGTGTGGCTCTCGGAGCTATGGGTGCGGGGCCCCGGGCTGCAGGGAGGTGGCCCCAGGGGTGTGTGCGGTCTCCCCGCCCCACCTCCGTCCCCGCCGCACAGAGTCTGATCTCGGGACAGGAAGTGAGACAAGCGAGTCTTGTCTCTCCACTTCGTCACTGCGCCCGTGCTGGTCCCCGGAGGTCCCCGCAGCTGGGGTCAGTGGGTGGGCACTCTCAGGGTCTGGGCGGCCCCCACGTGCCTCCCCCACCCCGGGGGCTGGCGTGCCCGGCCGCACGTCACCGTGACCCCTCTTGGCAGTGTGAATGGGGACGTGCGCTTCTTTGACCCTCGGATGCCGGAGTCCGTGAGCACCATGCAAATCGTGAAGGGCCTCACGGCCCTCGACATCCACCCCCAGGCCAACCTGATCGCCTGGTAGGTGCCCACCCCACTCGGGGGCTGGCTCACAGGCCCTCACGGGAAGCCTCGCCCTCCTGCCCCTGGGCCCCCCGCCCCCCGGGGAGAAGGGTGCTGACGGCCCTTTCGCCGGCCCACCTGCCCTCCGCAGTGGCTCCGTGAACCAGTTCACAGCTGTCTACAGCGGGAGCGGGGAGCTCATCAACAGCATCAAGTACTACGACGGCTTCATGGGCCAGCGCGTCGGTGCCATCAGCTGCCTGGCCTTCCACCCGTACTGGGTCTGTGTCCCCACGCCCAGGAGGGGCCGGGGAGCCTCGGGGGCCCGGGGCCAGCGCGGCGGGCGGGCAGGCGGGCTGCAGAAGGGCTGCCCCATGACTCACCTGCTGTGAGCCTCTGCCCTCCTGTGTCCAGGCCGCGGCCTGAGCCACCCTCACCCCCAAGGCAGCACTGACTGCCCTGCCACTCAGGGAAGAGTGGCTTCGGAGTGCGAGAACCTCCTAGTGAGCAGGCTCCTAGGGGACTGCACACGCACGGCAGGACGCCCGTCCTTGGCCACAGGTGGTCCAGGTGGCTGCAGGCTGTTGCAATTTCAGTCAGGGCCCCGCCCACCTGCTTTTGAGCTGCTTGGACCACCCCCCCAGGAGCCCGGCGCGCGGCTCTGCCGGAGTGTGCGGTGCAGCTGTGCCAGAGCCGCCGCTGGGGTGGAGGGGCAGGAAGCAGTGGGAGGCTCAGGCCCCTCCCTGCGGCTCACGGCCCCCCTCCACCCCCCCTCCGCAGCCGCACCTGGCCGTGGGCAGCAACGACTACTGCATGTCCGTGTACTCCGTGGAGAAGCGCGTCAGGTAGCCTCGCCCGCCCGCATGCACGCATGGCCCCGCGGCTGCCCGGGCGCTCCGGTCCTGACTGGCTGCTGAGGGCTCCCGGAGGCCAGGCTGTCCATCTGTCTGTCTTCGCTGCTGTGCTCCGGAGCCCTGAGGCACGGTGGCTGCTTCTCTGCTGGGCCACAGCTTCCAGGCCAAGGACACAGTCACCCTCGCCCACTCCTTCCTGTCCTGCTTTTCTTCTGAGAGTTTTAACGGGGAATCAAACTCATTTTCTTTTCCGAGCAATCCAAGCAGGAGCCCCACAGAGGCCCACGAGGACGCCGGTCTCCAGGGCTCGGCACCCGCGGGCCCCGGGGCCACCACTGCCTGGCCGAAGGCCTGCACGGGGCCCAGCCCCAGCCTGGCCGCACCCTCCTGCTTCTGCGCCCACAGGGACAGTTCCAAGCAGGTGGGACAGGCTGGGGGTCCAAGACGGGAACAGGACATGGAGGAGCTGGCGACCGGCCCTCCCGCCCATGCACCGGGGCTCACTGCAGCCCCCCCACCCCGGCCACCCTGCAGTCACCCTCCTGGAACAGCCTTGGATCCGAGCCTGGGCTCTGTGACCACAGCCCCCTCAGCAGGAGGGGCCTGTGGCCTGGGACACGCAAGACCAGTCCTGGAGTCCCCACCACTGCCCAGGTCCGTGACCTTCCTGCCTGTGCTTGCACACGCACCACACCCACACACACTTGCACACGGGAGACGGAGCAGGAGCCCTGAGAGCGTCATGACGAGGTGACACCCAGGCGCCAATGCCGTCCCCACCTGGCGCAGCAGCAGCACAGAGGAGCTCCTCGCTGATCACGTCAGCGCACGTCTGTGTGGGTGCACAGGTGTGTGTGCGGGTGCGCGGGCGGGTGCGCGGGCGCGTGTCTGTGGGTGCCCATCAGGGAGCCGAGGCCACAGCTGAGCCCAGGATCGGCCTTGGAGAACATGCTGAGCGAGCCCAAACACTCGGAGAACAAAACCTGCACCGTGACGTCCGAACAGTGCTTACCCCCCTTTCCTTGGGAAACCGGGACACTCAGAGGAGTGAGGTGGCTTTGCTGACTCTGCCTGTAGGAGCCCAGCAGCCATGCAAACCTGACAGAGTGGTGGCGAGAGTTTCCGACCCCTCGCACTGCAGACGAGGTTCTGCCGCAGCCGAGGGTGCGGTGGGCGGATGGAGCCCCGCAGCCTGGGTGCGGCGGGCGGGGGCAGGGGGCGGCCCTGCTGCCTGTGGGCCCTGCGTGCCCCCAGCAGGAGAAGGTTCTGGGACAAAAATCCCACTCCAGCCTGTGACCTTCCACTGTGTCCTGGGTGAGATGGCCGCACGGGGTCAGGAAGGCCACGGAAAGTTCCACTCCTCCCCACACAGCACCCACCAGCTCAGCAAGGCGCTCCAGCCAGTGACCCCGGAACCTCCTGGAAGCTGAGCCCCCCCCAAACGCTGAGAGCGTCTGACTTGTGGGGCGGTCCCACTCCAGATTCCCGGCTCACGGGGGATTCTGTTTGTTTTGAGACAAAACCATGACCTGTCCCAGTGAGGCCACTGCCCCCTTGGTGTGGCCGCGGCCACCATGCGGGGCGGCCCGACGCGAAAACCCAATCATGAAATTGACCCAGGCTCAAGAGTCTGACCGGAAGGTGCGTTCGTCCCTATTTATTTGCCAGAACGACAAGCGTGGCGTTGTTCCGCGGACGCCAGGGCGCCGACAATAAACTGCCAACAAACCCGAGCGCAGAGGTGGTGGCGGGCTGGTCTTCGCGAAAATGGTCCATCCTCCGCCGCACGGGCCGCTCCACCCACAGTCGCCTCCACCCCACACAGCGGCCTGGAGGGCAGCCGGCTGTCACTCGCTGGGGACAGGCACCTGTCCTCAGGCAGTACCCAACTCTGCGGCTCAGACACACATCCCAGGAAAGGCCCCCGGGCTGGGATCAAACCTGCTGGGTCCAGGGGCCGCCCCGCCCCGTGTCTGTGAGCCCGGGCTCCTGAGCCGATCCCTGGGTTTTGTGAGTGACACGACCTTCTCATCACACAGTTAGACATAAGCCTCGCTGGGCCGGGGCTGAGGGGCCAGGGCCACCTTCCATCCACCCAGAAGCCCGCCCCTTCCTGCAGCTCCGGGACTTCTCACCCCAGCCTAGGCAGGTCCCTGTGCCATTTCTGCAGTAGGTGGGACCCCCCCCCCCCGCCAAGAAGCTCTGTGGGGGGTCCTGCCAGGCACATGTGAGACCAGGAGTCCCAGTCATTTCATACCTTGGGGCTGTGAGTTCCTGGAGACAGCTTGGGGACAGGCTCTTGTCACACCCCTTCGACAGGAAATGGGGACTCGGGCATCCTGATCCCTAGGGGCTGGTTAGCACCCCCAGGAAATGGCTGTGCCCATCAGCCCCCAGGGGACAGTGGGAAGGGGACCTGGGAGCGAGCAAAGGCGGGAAAGCACTCCAGAGACATCGGACAGGGTCCTCAGGGTGGACAGGAGTTGTCCTGGCTGACAAGGGGCAGCCAGCGGCAGGGCATGTGGGGACCGGAGAGAGGCCGGGTGGGCTGTGACCAGGGGCACTGGGGAGGGCGGGCCGTCCTGGGGCCTCAGACACACGGTCCTTGCACTTGGTGTGGGATGGGGCATCGGGTCACGGCCCACCCTCCTGAGCCGCCTGGGCAGTGGCTGCGCCTTGGTGGCCAGTGGCATGGGAGGCCCCTCGTGACGCTCGGATCCTGCAGGTGGCTGGCCCGGAGGGTCAGGACGGGGCTGTGGGAGAGCCCAGGTTCCTGTCCCTTGTCAGTGCCTGAGGGGGACACGGCAGAGACGTAGTCCGGAGCTACCAGGCGCCCAGGCCCAGGCACGTCTCCGTCGACTCCTTTGGGGCAGCCCAGGCCCCTGTGCCGCCGTGGACACCAGGCCCTTGGATCCCAGGGTCGAAGCTGGCAGCCCTGGGGGAGCCCTGCCACCAGCAGCCAGGGTCAGTGTGGGAGAGGGTCCCAGGGCCCCTGGGACAGCTAAGCCCCTTCCAAGGGCAGTTTGGGGTGGGTCATTAGTGTGTGCGGTCAGCACAGCCCCGAGGGTCAGGAATCAGACTGCTTGCCCGTGGCTCTGGCTCAGGGTCTCCCGCCAGCTCACCACCAAGCTCTGGGCCAAGGGAGAGGCCCTGTGTCTGCCATGACCCCGTCTCAGTGGAGCCAGGCGCCCGCCAGCCCTCTTCCTCGGCCACGCAGACCCACACTGGCAGTGCGGGAGGGCACGGCCCGCCCGACAGCCTCCCGGCACTCGACCTGCCCTGTCCCCTGTCCCCTGTCCCCAGCAGCAAGCCTCGGCCCGCCTGCTGCCTGCCCGGTTCAGGTCTCCATCATTGCCTGGGCCACCACAGCTCAGTGGGTCCTTCCCAGCCATTCTCCCCAAGATCAGGGCTTCCAATCCCAGCTCGGGTGGGTGACAGACTCCTCTGTGCCTCGGTTTCCCCCCATGACCCCCTCACAGGCTGTTGTGAGGACCAAGGAGTGGTGCGGACTCACACGAGTCTGCCGTGACCATGTCTGACCCCCACATCCACCCAGCCGCTGGTCCTGGACGTCCCTCATCCACAGCGCCTGCCGCCCTCCCCACCCCTCCACCCACCCTCCCCAGGACCCTGCACGCCCCCTCGGCCTCCAAGTCCTTTTCCCCCATGACCCCACTCCCCAGGGGCAGTGGCCAAAGCCACCTCTACAGATCAAGGTTAGACCAGCCCCTCTCTGGTTAGGCCCAGCAGCCTCCCAGGTCCCCCCTCTGCCTGGGGTGCTTCTGAGATTAGACGCCACCTCAAGGAAGCCTGTCCTGACTGCTGACCCACCGTCCTTCCACCCAGCACACCAGCAGGTCACCCTGTGCCCCTGCCACGTGCAAGCCCATGGCCGCAGGGGCTCTGGCCCCCAGGGCAGGGCCGTGGACAGATGGACAGGTGGATGAGCAGATGGACAGACGATGACTTTTCCTGGCTAAGGCAGATTCAAGGCAGACCCCCTGCCTGTATCCAGGCCCTACCCCCACGCCGCCTGGTCTCAGACCCACCTTCCTGCGAGGACCCCAGGAGTCCTTGCCTGCTGGTGTCCTGGGGTGCTCGGCCTCCAGCCTGCCCTGCAGCGCCACCACGTGGCCATTTTAGGGATTGCCACTGCCCACCCGCAGCCCAGCCCAATGTCCTGGCTCCCAGGAAGGAGGTGGACCCCACCTCTCCCAGGTCCCTTGTCCCTTGTGCTCTCAAGACCCCAAAAGATGTGTCTCAACATTTAACCCTCTGCAGCCCAGCACCTCCACTCGGCTGGGCCCCCAAGATTCACAGACAGGCCGAGCCTCCCCTACAAATTATGTGAAGTGTGGATCTTATTGTGTTGGGGGTTGAAGTGGGATCGCCCCCAAACTCCTGTGGGAGTCCTAACCCTCAGCACCTCCGAATGTGACCCCCTTTGGACAGAGGGTCTTTACAGAGCTCACTGGGAGAAAATGAGGACATATGGGGGGGGGGGCCCAGTCCAATACGGCCATCCTCATCAGAAGAGGACACACGGACAGACATGCACCCAGGGAGACAGCCCGTGAAGACGGAGGCAGACATGGGGTGAAGCTTCCACAAGCTGAGGGGCCCCACAGATCGCCAGCAAACCCCGGCAGCCAGAGAGGGGCCTGGGACAGCTCAGGAGGGTGGCCCTGCCCACACCTCGGTCTTGGGCTGGCAGCCTGCAGACGGAGACAGAGAGGTGTTTAAGCTGCCCGGCCTGTGGTCACCTGTCATGGCCGCCCAAGAACAATGCCGTCTGTGGAAAACAGGACGGCGCTCCGGGTGCGCTGTGCAGAAACACTCTCCTGCAGGGGCCTGGGAGGGTTGACCGCGAGCCAGCTGCTGGGGACCAAGAACCAGGCGCGGAGCCAGGTGTGGACACGGCCTCAGGCCACCGGTTTTGAGGTGTGCTGGGAAGACCACACTTGTAAACGACCAGCCAGGGTTCAAATTCTCAGTTCGAGGTAGAGTCAGAAAATCAGAAAGGAAGCAGGATTACTTTGGAAGGAATCCTGTGTCCTGCTGCGGGCCTGTCGCGTTGGGAAACCATTCCCCGAGATGCGTCCTGAGGCTGTAGAATCTCGAGGTTGGTTGAATTCTCAGCCTCCCCAAGTCAGAGCGCTTGAGTGTGAAAGAGCCAAAATGGAGACTTGAGTGGACTGACCTTGACCCCCGTCCCCAGTGACCCCACTAAGCCCTGCCTGCCAGCTGGCCCACCCGCACTCTGTGAGCCCTGCTGTTGAGCAATCCCAGGCAACTCGGTCACACCCCAGGGACACCAGGTTTTGCTCGCTCAGACAGGAGCCTTGTGGAGGGACCCATGGGTTCCCAGGGTGGCACAGAGGAGCAGACATGGGTACCCGTGCACGGTCCCAGGCCCCAGCCTGAAGGTTTGCTTCCATCCGTGAGGAGCCTTGAACTTTGCTCCTTTGTTGCTGTAAACTTGGGTGTAACCGGACCCCACTGGGCTGCCAGTCACCCCTCAGGACGCATTCGGGAATACCGAATCAGGGCTCAGGCAGAGATGGATTCGGCCTGATGTATCAGGTGCAAGTCCCTGCGTGTCCACAATGCACAGCCCTGCGTGAGGTCCTGAGAAAGCCCCGATCTGCAGGCCAGGAATGGCCATAGAGCCACTGCCACCAAAACTGGGCCCTGGATTCGTCCTGGGCATGGAGAAAGGCAGAGCCCAGAGACCAGCGGAGGTGGCCGAGGGGCCTGGGGCAGTGGCTAGGTGTCCCCCGAGACGAAGAAGATGGAGAGTCATGACCTGTTGCCCAGTGTTCAGCAAGCAGAAGGCAGGGTCCCCTGTGGTGGGTTCTAGGTGTCAGCCCGCCCCCCCCCCAGGACCTCCCCCAAGTGCCTAAACCATGCTGCAGTTGCTCCCTACGCCAGAACGACCTGCCACCCTCTGTCGCGCTCACTAACCTGAGGTTTAGAGTCAGCGCACCAGGTGCCTTCCTGGTGCCTGTGATGTGAGCTGGTGGGCCCACTGACGGGGGGCCGAAGTGGCGCGGTCACGGGGAAGGAAGGGTCTCTTGGGGACGCTGGGTCCTCTTACCCTATGGCTGCGCTCCCAAGACACTAGCCATGTGGCCGTTCATGCCCTGGCCTCGAAGTCACGCCTTGCGCCCGATTCGCAAAGTCAATTGGAATTCAGTCCGTCTGCACAGCGGGCACAGCCTGGAAGCGCACGTGGCGCCCACTACTTGCAACCTCGCAGGCCCTACCGCAGTTCATGGCGCCACTTCTCCATGCCGGCCCCAGGGGGCGCTGTGTCACTGGCCGACGCCGAGGCCGCGGGCTGTTCGCGTTCTGCGGCGCCTGGCCCCGCGCGGCCGCCGTAGGGGGCGGGGCTGCAGACGGTGTCGGGGCGACGGTGCGACGGGGTTCAGCCGGCGGTGGGCGGGGGGGGGGACTTCGGGGGCGTGGGGGGCGCCGGGGCGCGGGCCCGGCGCCATGGGCAACCTGTTTGGTCGCAAGAAGCAGAGCCGCGTCACCGAGCAGGACAAGGCCATCCTGGTGAGACGTCCGTCTGCGGCCCGGCCCCGCGTCCGGTCCGGGGCCGGTGGGAAATGTCCCTCGGTTGTGCTTTGCGCACGAGCCCACGCTCGCGGGAAGGCTTTCCATTGCGGGCCCCGCGGGACCAGCCCGGGGACGCGGCCCGAGTCCGCACCCACGCGCGCAGCTGGCTCGGAGACGAGGCCGTGGGGCGAGGGGCCGTCCGTGACGCCCTCTCTCTGCCCCGGAGCTGGGGGTTTAGAGAAAACGGGGCCAGCCTGTGACCGGCCGGAGTGCCACTGGGTTCAGGACCAGCTCCTGCCCGCCGTGGCCTCCCTCGCTTGGTGTGCGGAGGCCGGTTCCGTCCCTAAGGCGCCCCTCTGCCACCGCCCGGACGCGGTTTCCGGGGCGAGACCGGGCTACCCGTTGCCATGGTGATGATGCTGCGGCCCTGACTCCCAGGGCGCTTTCAGGTACAGGTTAGTTTGTGGGGAAAGAGCCCCGCGTTGCTTTCCGTGAAATTCTTGTGTCCAGTCATCCGTTTCCGTTACGAGAAAAACGTGTCGGGAAGAAGACAGTCCAAAAGTGAGAGCCCAATTTACCTTTACTTTTGCTTTCTGTTCTGAATGTTCTGCGAGGAAATTTACTAAGAGATAAGTGAATTCAAATAACAAAGGGGTTTTTACCTCGGCTTCTGAAACTGTTATGAAAGGTGCTTCACTGAGGTTTCTCAGAAGCAACAGCAACCAGGGATGTGCTTGTCAGTGGAGGAACCGGCACAGCGCCGGACGCCTGATGGGAGGGGTGGGGGCGCTGGGTGACTCCGTCCTGAAGGACAGCAAGGGCCCCGCCCCGCGCTGCCCGCAGGTGCGCCCGCCTTCACCCTTCGCCCTCCACCCTCTGCTTCCCGACTGACCCAGCCTCGCGCAGAGCAGGGAGCCCCTGAGGCCGTTCTCTTCTCTAAGGACCCGCCTTTGGCTTTCTCCTCAAGGAGACCTTCCGCTCGCCAAGCATCCACCTCGCTGGGGTCCCAGCAGGGACAGTGTGGTCTGCACAGGATTCACAAACACTGCCTGAGGTCTTTCTGGGGTTCAAGACCCCGTGCCTGTCTCAGCTCTGCTGAGCTGCACTGCCAGCCAGGAGAGTAGCCCCATAGCAGGGGTGGGTGCCCCCATCCTGGGGAGGAAAGGCAGCTGGGGCTGGGAAGACTGGGTGCCTCTATCGGAGCAAGTCCTGGGCCTGACTGTGTGCTAGGGCAGACACTGAGGGGGGCCGGTTAGAGGGAGCTGTGAACCCCCCCACCCCACCCAGGCAGACTCAGGGTGTCTTCACTGGGCATCGCCCCTCACGTGATGAGTTTTACAGATGTGCATCCCCCCGATGACTGACGCTCAGGGCAGCCCACCTGAGAGACAGCCCTTTGGCGGCAGGGTGCGCCCCATCTGCGGGTGCCTTTCCCGGTGTTCCTGCCGCGCCGGCTGCGAGAGAAACTCGAGTGCCCGAGGCAGGGAGGGGCCAATCCAAATGCAGGGGCAACCGCGCATCCTTTGTAGGAAGCATGCAGGTCCGAGATGCTCGCCAGGGGTGCGTGGCCCCCCCTGAACGCACCAGTGGGGCCCAGGCAAACGTGCTAGGTGACAAGAACGGGATGCTAAGCCCACGTTGGGAAGGTGGCTGGGGCCCAGAGGAGCCGGCCAGAGTGCAGGCCACTGCCAGGGCGGGAGGGTGACTGAGCCGAGAGGCCGTGCAGCTCCCCTGACCCGGCTCCAGGACACCCACCCTCCTCGCAGACGGCACTGAGCGCCACGCTGTGTTGGGACAGTACAGCATGATGGACACAGCTGGCTGGCTCGGCGGAGGCTGCCCTGGGCACTGCTGGCCTCCCCACTGGGCGCCTGAGCTACCTCCCAGCTCAGACAGCCAGGATTGTCTCTGGACGTGGCCCCGTGCCCCCCGGGGCAGAGGGTGCACTTCCAGGGGCAGCAGCCCGGTGAAGGTTGGGCACAGCGTTAACACGACACCCCGTCTCTGCAGCAACTGAAGCAGCAGCGGGACAAGCTGAGGCAGTACCAGAAAAGGGTCGCGCAGCAGCTGGAGCGGGAGCGGGGCATCGCCCGGCAGCTCCTGCGGGACGGCAAGAAGGAGTGAGTGTGCGGGGCAGCGGCACTGCAGGGTGGCGGGGGCTGGGCTGGCCCCGGGTCACTGTGCACCCCCTCTGCAGGCGGGCCAAGCTGCTGCTGAGGAAGAAGCGGTACCGGGAGCAGCTGCTGGACAAGACGGAGAACCAGATCGCCAGCCTGGAGACCATGGTAGGCCGAGGGGAGCCCTCGGGCAACGAGGCTGACCTGCCCTGTCTCGGGCCCCTCAGCCCAGGGGCGGGTCGGCCCGGAGGGGAGGAGGGTCCGTGACGGGAAGCTGATCGTCTCCAGAGGTGGGAGCAGGTGGACTCTTACAGGAAGATGGTTGGGGACTGGGCTGCTTCTAGGTGGCCCAGGGATCTGTCCTTTGAGTAGAGGTGTCAGGGGTCTTCAGGGGGCTCCTGGAGCATCCCTGGCATTAAGTGCTGAACAGAGCTGCTCGTGAGCACTCAGTGGCCTGTCCTGAGCTCTCTCGGTCGTGGTGTGGGCTGCAGAGGGCAAGAGGGAGGCTGGGGACCAGAGAGGCCAAGGCGGCTCTTACCGGCAGACCCGGGCCCGTGTCCCCCCAGGTCCAGAGCATCGAGTTTGCCCAGATTGAGACAAAGGTGCTGGAGGGGCTGCGGCTGGGGAACGAGTGTCTGAACAGGATGCACCAGGTGGGTCCTGGGGGGCTGGGGCGGGGCCTGGCCTGCGGCCGGCCACGGTGTTTGTGATCGTCACTGCGGGGAGAGGATGACGGTCTGGCAGGACAGGCGGACTCCGGTGTTGACCTGGAAACAGAACAATGAACAAAACCTGGGTCTTGGGTCTGCAGATGCCAGCGTGACCAGAGGAAAAGTCTGATTTGGGTGGGGAGGGGTGTGGTAAGCTGCTCTGGAGGACTTCCTGGAGGAGGTGAACACAGCCTCCTGTCAGAGACAGCTTGGAGCTGGCTGGTGACCAGGAGGGTGAGGCCTGGAGAGGCTGAGCTGGAGCCCTGCCCCTCCACGCTGGGCTGGGCTGGGGCAGGGGGTGGGCCCAGAGCCCTGGCTGTACTGCTTTGCCGAGTGGTGAGTGCCTGCCAGTCCAGCAAAGGGGCTGCTTCGAGCCTGAGAGAGGTCAAGTCACTTGCTCAGAGAAAACGATTTCTGCTTTTCACTCACTTTTACCTAAAGCTGCTAGAGTAGGTTTGTTGCTGGAAGGTCTAGTGAGAAGGGCCAGTCAAGGCCTCAGGAAAGGCCGACTGACAGCTTCCGGCCTCTGTGGCCCAGTGCTGCCTGGGATGGAAGTGACCGGCAGTGGGCCCTGTCCTGCCGGCCTGGCCTCCCTGGGACGAGCATCCGGGTGAGGCCGTGCACCCGACAGCCAGGTGGCCCTCCGTGGGGCTCTTGCAAGGCCCCCGCCAGACTCAGGAGCTCCCCACCGGCCCGTTTAGGTGATGTCCATCGAGGAGGCGGAGCGGATCCTCGACGAGACCCAGGAGGCCGTGGAGTACCAGCGGGTAGGTGTCGCCCTGTCCTCGGGCCCCCTTCCCCCAGCAAGTGAGGGCAGTGCCGTCCTGGTGGAGGGTCCTGCCTGCCCCTGCCTCGTGGTGGCCCCCCTCCTCGCCCGTGACGGGGGTGGAGTCAAGGGCTAGTCCCTGGGGGTCCCAGTTCCCGGCCCAAACACGCACTTCACCTCTGCCCCTCCTTTTGCAGCAAATCGATGAGCTGCTGGCAGGGAGCTTCACTCAGGAGGACGAAGACGCCATCTTGGAGGAGCTGGATGAAATCACTCAGGTGGTGGGACCCCAGGGCCTGCCGGGTGCCCCTGTGCATCACGGCAGGGGCCCAGACAGAGCAGGGGGCTGCCTCTGCCGGCCCTCAGCCACGTCCCTGCACAGTGGATAGGGGTGTGGCTTTGACCTGGCGGGTTTTCCCTGCACAGCCAGCCACTCGGTGGCACGTAGGCCAGCATGTGTCGGCCCCGTGGCCTCCGCGGGGTGTGTGCGCTCCGTCTAGGCCACTGCCCTTGCCGTGTGCTCAGCCTGCATGCCCCGCCTCCCCCAGGCCCCGCAGGCTCTCTGGGAGGGCGGGTTTCAGTCCGCTGCTCACCCTGGGGCCTCCGTTCACACTCAGAGGCCAGCCGGCCCCACCCCACAGCACAGCCGGGCCCCGCGCGGCCCTGACCCTGCCCAGGCTCTGGACCGGCAAGTCCGGAAGCCCTTCAGGGACCTAGAGCCGGGAAGCCAGCCTTTACTTGTCTCTGCACTGCCGCAGGCGGAGGAGTCCCCTCGGGGCTCTGGAGCGAACTGGATCTAGCCGAGCAGAGGGGACCCGGCCCTCCCGGGGGCACAGGCGGGCCTCTGGGTCACGTCTCACACCCCCTCCTCCCGTCTCTTGCAGGAACCAATCGAGCTCCCCGATGTCCCTTCAGAGCCCCTTCCTGAAAAGAACCCAGGTACTCCCCATTCTGTCCTCTGGGAAATGGCAAGTTCTAGAACAGACCAAACGCCCTGGCCTCAGGGTCCTGCTGCACCGGGCACGGTGGGAGAGCTGCTGGCCAGCTCAGGGGGAGCACCGAGCCCCATGCTGGGGAGGGTAACCTCAGAAGAGTTGACCCTGTTGGGAGAGGCGCGGCCTAACGGTGGGAGCCCCCAAAAGGCCAGGCGAGCCCGCAGACTCTCCTGGGCCAGCATCCTCGCTGGTCCAGGCCCCGGGATGACCGTCCCAGGGCCTCACCGAGCAGGCCCTGAGGTCTTTTCCCCCGGGCGGCCCTGCGGCATCCGTCGTGGTCCTCGTTCCTTTCCGCTCCTCCACCTCCTCCCGAGGCTGTGGGGCCTCCCGGCCCCTCCCCGCCATCCAGGTGCGGGTACCAGCCCTGCCCGGCCTGTCCCTGACTGACCGTCCCCAGGAGCTGCTCAGGCCCTTCCCAGAGCTCACAGCCCCGGGCCTGGCTCCATGCCGCCTCTTGTCCTCCTCTGGAAGTTTCTGCCTGGGACATGTTCTCTACGTGACAAATGTCTCTTTGTTCCCTCCACAGAGAAAGTCCCTGCCAAGGCCAGGCCCAGGCAGGCGGACCTGGTGGCAGCCTCCTAACTCAGCCTCCTGGAGTGGGACCGGCAGGGACTCCCCAGAGACGGAGCCACCGAGAGTTTGGGAGCATGGCCAGCCCTGACCAGGCCCCCAGGAGGCCAGTGCCAGGCTGGGCCACCGGTGCTGACGATGCAGCAGACACAGGGCTCTCAGCCAGGCCGACTCTGGGAGCCGTCCCTGGGTTGGGGACTGCACGGCTCCATTCAGTCCCTCCAGCCAGACACAGCTCCTGAGGCTGTGGCTCCCATAGGGCCATGACCAGCCTGTCACTCCTGGTGCTGGTCACACTTCCTGTCCCTGGCCCTGTGAAGCGCTTCGGGCCACTCTCCTGTTGGAAACCGAATCAAACCAAGCCCCTCCCTTCCCTCTCACTTCCTGCTGCTCCCTTCGTTGGCGAGGCCTTCGACCAAGGGGCACCTACCTTGGCCAGGCTTCCTGACACGCCCAGTTGTCGTGTGGATCCGGGGGTGTGGGCCTCTCCATGCTTCCGTCTGCATTTGGGGGGTGGACAGGAGGGGCGCATCCCTGCTGGCTGGACTCCAGGAGTCCTGCCTGCCCCTCATCACTGGCGGGTCCTGCCGGGGTTCCCGGAGGTGCCGACAGGACCCGTGTGTCCACGGAACTCTGGGGCTGGAGCTTGGAACCTGCAGAGACCTGGGACCTGCCAACCTGCCAGCTCTGAGCTGTCACCCACCATGGACAGGCTTGAGGGGGAGTCACGTTCCTGATTCACAGTCCATTCTGGAATTGGTGTCGTTGGGGTGTCACTCCCAGCAGGGCAGAGGAGACTCGCCCAGCCCCCCAAATACGTCACCCCCATTAAAGTTGGTCCTGCACCCCTGCCACCTCATGGACTCGGGTCTAGGAGTGCCAGGGTGGGTTACAGGCACCCCCGGGTGCCCCTGGACCCTCACGGGCACTGACTTGGAGGCGCCTGTCTGGTCAGCCCCACAGTGGGCCTGGGGAGCAGGTGGAGGTTCTCCTGCTGGCCCTCAGCCCCGGAGGCCGCCTCTGGGCAGCTGCCCCAGCCTGGCGCAGGGCTGTGTCCTGGTCCTGCCACCTGCAGGACCGGCCCCGGCAGCCCCCACACATAATGGCCTCAGACCCTCCTGGGTGGGGAGCCGGTTGCTGCGGTGAGGAGCGAGAAGGGGCGTCCCACCTAAGGGGCCCCTGTGGGCATGCCAGAGCTGGGGTTCTTGGGCCGGAGCTGGACACCCGGGTGTTCGGGAGTTGGGAACCTGCTGTGTGTGAAGGGATCCTTGGCAGGTGCAGTACACACCTCTGCCAGCAGGGGGCTCTGCCAATTGGCCTCCGGATTTGGCAGAAACTGCCATCAGTGGTGCCAGTGTGGCTGCTGGCCCCTCTTGCTCCCGTTTTGGGTGACATGCTGCCATCTGTCTCCAGGACACCAGGGGGCAGTCCTCACCTAAAAGGAGGAGCTGGTCCGGTGACCCTCTCCATCTGCAGATGGGCTTCTGGGCCCCAGGAGGTTGTGGAGGGGACGTAGGGCCTGCCTCAGGGGAGGCACAGATCATGGGCCCGCCACTCCGGCCCCCACAGGAGGCCCATCCTCAGGGAACGGTGGTTCCACCTGGGGCCTGCCTGGTGGGGTGCACCCTGCCCCTCCCCCATAGTGCCTTGAGGAAACCCCCCACTCCCCGCTCCAGTGCTGGGCCAGGCACCCAAGCCCCGCGGGAGGAGGGAGATCGGGGCTGCCCTCCCTTACCCAGCCTTCTTTCTAGAAGTTCAACCCCAACATAGGACATAGGGAGGCCCTGACGCCCAGGGGACCTTCTGCTGACGCTCGGGCTCCAGCTTTGGATGGCATCTGGCTGGCCAGCCGTGTGTATGTGTCTGTGTGTCTGTGTCTGTGTCTGTGTGTGTGTGTGTAAATGTACGTGTGAGAGAGTGTGCGCTCTGCCAGGCTGAGGCTGGTCAACCCTGCACCCTACTCCCCAAACAGCAGCCAGCGAGCTTACCCGCTCCCTTTTCCTGGGGCCTGGGACTCCTGACTGTCACAGGTTAGAATTCAAACCTGGTGGCAGAGCTGGTGCCCTAGGGGCTGAAGGGCACTTGAAGGAAGGGAGGGCCTGAAAGAGCACCCACACCCCAGGGCAGGAGAGGCTTAAAGGGGGACCCATGGGGGCCCTCAGGCCCGGGACCCCAAAAGGGTGGGGCAAGGAGCGGTGCCTGGGGGGGGTGCTGGAGACAACATCCCTAAGCTCTGACCTCACCACCCTGTGGGGTCTCCTGCTGACCCCACCCCACCTGCAGAGACAATCTGGTGACATTGGGCAGCTGCCACAACAGCCCTGGGGCTTCTGGTGGAGCTGGCTTCCTCTTTGCAGGAGCAGCCCCTCCAGGGGTGGGTTGCTAGTCGTACCCCAAATTTGGAGGGAGGCTGCGTGGGACGAGGGCAGCAGGTCAGAGGTGCGCCCTGGGGGAGGCTGGCCTCACGGCCACACCTGGCTGGGGACCTCTCCAGTGGAAAACTTCACCCCTGGGACAAGGACAGCTGTGTGACTCGGCCTGGCCCTGGCACGTCGGTGAGCCTGGGTCCTCGGCCCTGTGCCCCGGGATCTTGTTGAGGATGTGGGAACACCCCAGGCCTCTTCCTGGGGACATGTCTCCCTCTCGCCAGCCCCTTTCCTCAACATGCACACAGACAGCCCGGCCTGTCTCTGGCCTGCACGTGGGGGAGACTGCGCCCGCGGGACCTCCGGTTCTCTGGACCTTCCCCTGCCTGTGATCTCGTCCCTGTGGGTCTGACGGCACGTTACCTCCAGCCCGTCCCAGTGGGAAGCGGGAGCTTATCTGGTGGAGCAGCGCTGCTCTCAGACCTGGCCCTTGCGGGGACGCTCCCTGAGGACGCACAGGCCCTGGAATGAACGTGGTGAGAGCAGAGCGCTCAGACGCCGTGCCGGGGGCACGATGGCTTCCCTTTCCCCCCGCATCCCTGAGATGCAGCCCCGTGCCGTACATCTCGCCCGCTGAGAGCACACGGCTCAGCCCGGTCCACGAGTCACAGGCCCTGCTGCCCTCTGCACAGTCCACAGGACAGCCCCTCCCCCGGGGGAAGCCACGCCCCCCACGCCGCTTCCTGCTCTGGGTCGGCCTGTTCTGCACTCAGTGTGGCCTCACGCAGGGCCTTCTGTGCCGGCCTCTGGCTCACGTGCTGCATCTGAGGTCCCCCCGTGTCATGCGAGTGTGGGCGTCCATGGCGCCAGGGGCTGCATTTTCTCTACCTGCCTGTTCCCATGGACACTAGAGTTGTCCCCCTCTTTGCCAATCGAGAAGGACGTTTCTGTGAATGTCTCAAGCAAGTCTCTGTGTGGGCAGGTCTTAATCGCTCCCGGCATGAGCCTGGGGGCGGGCTCGCGGGGCACGCAGAGACCTGCTGCCCGGCCCTCGGAGCAGCGGCCAGACCGCTGTCCAGGCGGCTGCGGCATGTGACCTTCCACCAGCCGCCCGTGAGGCTCCACAGGGCCCCGGCCCGGCCAACACGAGCTGTCCTCAGGCTCGACTCCGGCCGTCTGGGGGCCTGGCTCGTTCCCCGAGTGACCAGTGCTCATTGGCCTCTCCTGCGTCTTTCAAGAAATGTCCGGCTCCTTTGCGCAGTTTTAAATTGGGCTCGTTGTCACTGTGTTATTGAGCTTTAAGAGCTCCTCATATATTCTGGATACCAGACTCTGTAATCAAGTGTAGGATTTGCAAAAGCTTCTTCCAAGTCTGGGGCGTTTTTGCTTTTTTGATGGTATCCTTTGCAGAAGGAGCATTTTTAACTTTGAAAAAGTCCAGTTTATCTCTTTTGTTGCTTGTGCCTTGGGTGTCATTTCTAAGAAATCATCGCCTACTCTGAGGTCATAAAGATTTATCTCGTTTTCCTTGAAAACTTTTATAACTTGAGCTCTCAGGTTGGGTCTTTGGTCCCGTTCATGTCCGCTTCGGCCGTGCTGGGGCCTTGGGGTGCAGGCCGTTCTGCATGTGACACCCGGTTGTTCCGGCAGTGTGTGCTAAGTGACAGTTGTTCCCCCGCTGCACCCGCGGCTCCTTGCTGGACACCAGGTTGCCGGCAGCACGAGAGCAGGCCTCTGCCGGGACCCTGTGCTGTTCATCGGACTTCTGTCCTTGTGTCCGACTGCAGCTGCGTGGGAGGCTTTGAAATCAGGAAGTGCAAGTTCTGTTTGTTCTTTTTTCAAGGTTGTTTTGGCTGCTCTGAGTCCCCTGAATTTCCCTGTGAATCTTGGGATAAGTGTGTTAGTTTCTGGACAGAAGCCCAGAGAGACTCTGAGCGGGGTGCGCTGGGCTGCGGGTCAGTTTGGGGACCGTGCCAAGTCGGCACCGTTTAGTCCCATGGTCCCTGGAGTCCTCACCCAGGTCCCCTTTAACTTCCCTCAACAAAAGTGTGGTGTTTCCAGAGCTTACGTTTTGTACTTCTCTCGCTAAATTTATCACTAAGGATTTTATTCTTTTCATTGCTATTTTAATGGAATTTTTTCTTAATTTCAACTTCTGATCACACGCTGCAACTGTAATGCATCCTCACGCATCATACGGGGGTCTCCAGCTGCTGCAGACTGTGGGTTAGAAACACAGCTGGTCTCGGCACATCAGTCCTGCAGCCCCAGCCCCGACGAACAGGTGCAGTTGAGTTTTTAGCGAGGATGGGGCCAAGCCCTGCGCACGCCGAGAACTGAGAACCGGTGCTCTGGTTCCTCATCACGCCCCCATCTGGCCAGAACCCCCAGCACAATGCCGGGCCACGGTGGACGCCTTCCCTTCCGCTCTTTCTGTCCATTCCCAGCCCCCAAATAATACAAACAGGAAGGACAAAGTCCACACAGCATTTCAGGCAAAATCCCACCCCTTCCTCCCCCGCCCCTCCCTCTTCCCCTTTCTCCCCGGTTTCTGGGCCGACCAGGTGCTGCCTGGCTTTGCAGTGCCGCGGAGGGAGGCAGCGTTCGGGACTCGGTCTGACGCTGGGGGAGGAGGCCGCACAGAATGAACCTCAGCGCCGCACTGAGAGTGAGGGAGGGCGCAGCCAGGACCAGCAGACCAGGGCGGGCGTGGGCTCCACGAACTCCTCCGGGTAGCGCTGTTTTAAAAAACCTGGGGTCTCTGGCTCCTGCAGGCCACGGGCCCCCTGGGGCTCATCAGTGGGAAGTCTTCCTCCCGGAGGGGCAGTGGTACCCCACCAGCTTACACTCACAACACTGCCCCCAAGTCAGCGGGAGAAGCTGGAATCATGTCAGAATCACCTGCTCAAGAAATTAGTAAGTCCAAGGGGGGGCCGAGACCCCTGGGGCCATCTGTACTGGTGTCCGGCTTCCTGGGTGCTGGTCGGCTCCCGTGACAGACACCCCGAACTGTGGGGAGGGGCTGGGGCTCTGGTGTCTCCGGGGCTCACTGGCCAGGCTGGTGGACCGCGGACCGGACGTGCTCCCCGGTGACGGCTGCAGGTGGGGCCGTGTGTCCCTCTCTGGGTGCTGTCGGTCCCTGCGTGCTTGAGTGCCGCGTCACAGCCGTGTTCTGAAGCACAGGGTCGTATGAGTATCGGCCACTCCCTGTGGCCCTGCCTGCTGCACTGGTTTCTTAGGGGGCATTTTTTCAGAAATAGTGCAGAAACCTACCCACCCAGCTCTCTGTGTGAGTTCCCAATCAGTGGCACTTGGCCCGAGTCTCCCGTGACTTGAGGAAGCCTCAGGACCACATCCACCCCCGCAGGGGACGTGCCCTCATTTTGAGGGCTGTGTCTGGAGGGACGCCCCTGCTCCCCCACAGAGAGGCTCCGGGGGCCCAGGGTCCACCGCCCAGGCCTGTGTGGCGAGGCGGCTGTGGTGGGCCCAGTCACAGTCCCGGCCCCTCGGTGTGGGCTGGCGGGGAACGTGGTCCCTCCAGCAGAGGACCGATGTCGCAGAGTTGTTCTGGGTAGACGGCATCGTCCAGGGTGGCCTGTCCTGCTTCAGAGGACACGTGGAGAGTCTCCTGCCACATGCTGGCACAGCAGGTCACTTGTCGCAGTTGAAAGAGCAGATTCGAGGACTCCGCACGTGAGCCAGAGCAGGGGCCAGGGCGAGGCAGGTGGCCCGGCCTCCAGGGGACAGTCTGAGTCACTGCCTCTTCCCAAGCCCCAAGGACCGGCAGTGCAGAGCTGGGACTCCGACCGGACCCCGTGTTCCCGGCGAGGGGGACTACGAAAGGCCCCCGGGCAGTGAGAGCTGGAGAGGGACCTGCACGCTGCGGGGACAGCACAGGCCTCAAGTCGCCCCCGAGCCACACATGGGCAGGACAGACCCCGAGCAGCAGACGGTGACGCTGAACGGCAACTAGAACCACTGCCACTGGAGATTGGAGCTAACTGGGGTGGCGGCGGCTCCCTGAGAAGCACTGTCCGCCCCGCAGAGTATGGCAGCGGCCAGTCTGCACGCCCTGCAGCCACAGCGTTGAGCTGACGGCCCCACGTCCCTCAGTGTGAGAGACCATGGAGCTGTGACCGGCTTCCAGGGGAGACGAGCAGCAGCTGGTTTCAGCAGCCAGACCACCCGGGGGGGGGGGGTCACAAGACGCCCTCTGAGGCAGTGGTCGGAATGACCTCACACAGGTGGAGGCGGAATTGCCAGGAACGAGTGGGAAGTCCCACCTCTCGGCCCAGGAGCAGGAACCGCACATAAAGAAGCAACCTGCGAGTTTCGGAAAAGGACAGTGTGGTCCCAGACACATGAAGACGGATGGCCCCGCGGGCCTGGGGGCAGGCGGTGAGCGCGGCCGACTCGGGACGCCGAGACCATCCGCAGCTCTCAGCCAGCCCGGAGCCCCGGGGTCTGCGGGACGGCCCTCGAGGCCTGGCCTGTCATTATAGCCCTGTGGGGGGCGTGCGGGGATGAAAGCAGGGGGAAAACGTTTGAAGAAATAACAGCAGAATATATCCCGCGTTTGGTAAAAGTCACCAATTTCAGATTCAAGGAGCTCAGCAATCCCCAGAGAGGATAAATTAAAGCAACCTGGGCCTAGATAGGCCGTTATCACACGGCCAGGAACCAAGGCGGGGCAGAAGCCAGGAGCAGCCCAGGGAGCAGGAACCGGAGGACCCGTGGTCGGCGTGGCCGCGGAGCACTCTCCGCCCACTGGGGCTGTTTTGAGGATGAGCTTCAATCGGGTGCTTGGGTGCCAGCTGCCCTGGGAAGGGGCTTCGGGCAGCGGCCGCCTTGATCAGCAGCCTTGGAGGGGTCGGGGCTGGGCTGACGATGGAGAGGAGGGAAAGCCGCCAGAAGCTTCCAGTTTAGAACCATCTTGCAGGCACCCGACACACCCACGGGTGGGATCTTGGGGACTCTGTGGGGTCAGACGGTGGACTAGGCAGGGGGGTCGCACGCCAGCGGTCACCACGGTGGGTGTCAGAGCACAGGAGAGGGGGGCCTGGGCCTCAGAGGAGCCTGGGGAGTAGGAAGAGCTGGGGGGACGGGTGGCGAGGGTGATGGGAGGAGGCGGCGGTGACGGCAGCAGCCATGTCCCGTCCAAGCCAGGGGCCTTGGGAAAGCCCTTCCTGGGGCCCCCGCCCCAGCATGGGGTCCTGCCCCACCTGTCCTTCAGGCTGGTGGTCAGATGCCTCGGGCAGGTTGCTGAGCCAGACTCCCTGGCTCCTGGCCACCAGCTGGCCGGCCACACAGTCCTCCTGCCCAGGCCAGAGCCGTCTGGGCTCCCACCCAAAGTGTCTGCAGGCGGCGGGTCCTCCATCCACCGAGCATCCCAGGGCTCCTGGGCTGTGTCTTCGCCAAAGCCCTGCCCAGGCGGGGCCGCCAGCCCGGGAGCCCTGGCCTTACACACGCCGCCCTCCTCAGACCATGGGGCTGCTGTCAGAGGCAGGAAGGGCTGGACTCGGAGACACGCAGCGTGGTGCCTGCCGTTGCTGGACCTCGGCCTGGGCCGCAGAGGCTGCCAAGCTGGGTCCGCAGCCGAGTGGCAGCTGGGAGGAGCCTCCAGGTGGCCGAGGCTCTCGGGCCCACTTCCCGATGACGCTCTGCAATGAGGGGACTGAGACCCTAGGGAAGTCCGGGTCAGGGGGACGCGTGCCACACAGTTGGCGGGGCGCTCGGTGTCACTGGGTGCTCCGGGAACGCAAACCGAAACCACTGACCTTGACGGCGTCTTTTAGGTTCCGCGTGTGAGTGACGGCGCCCGGAGTGCGGCCTCTTGCCTGACAGATCCCGCAGCAGGGCCGGGCACGCTGTCAGCAGTGGCGAGGTCCCTCCTCCTGTGGCCGACCAGTGTTCCATTGTGCGAACAGGCAGCAGCTGCTTCATCCACTCGCCTGTCAGGGGACAGCTAGGTGGCTTCCACTCCTGGCCACGGTCCCCAACGCTGCAGCTTACTCACACGTCCGAGGGCTGGCACCGGGGGCCGGTGGGGGAGCGGGAGGGACACGAGGTACAGGACAGCTGCCCTCTTCGGTGGCCGCCGTAAAAAGTCACGGGTGTCAGCACGGCCCAGGGAAGGCAGTCGGTGATTAGCAAGAGCTCTGGACGGCGGACTCACGGGGGTGTCACTTCGTAAGTTACGTAACTGGCCCATTGCTGTGTCGCTGTGCTGAACGCCTGAAGCCGGTATGACGCTGAATGTGAGTTGCAACGGAGACCCGCCCAGAATGCTGACGAGGTGCCACTTCACAGTCGCGAGGACGCTGGAGTTAAAAACATACGGAAAATCACAAGTGCTGGCGAGTACGTGGACGAAGCCCTGGCCTTGCCGGCTGGTGTCAGTGACACCGCCGAAGCGAAAGCCAGGGCGTCGGCTCCTCAGGAGGCCACACGCCTCGGCCACCTGCCCAGCACGCCCAGGCGCGGACCTCAGGGCCCGCAAAGAGGCATTCTCACAGCTGCTGCGCCCCTGATCGCCAAAGGGGGGGACCACCCCGTGGCCACTGCTGAGGAGGGGCCAGCTTACCTCGGCCCACAGGACGCCGGGACAGGACGTGAGCAGCCAGGGAAGGTACCTGTGCTGGCAGCCCTCAAAGGTGTGACGGCTAGGGCAGGGGGTCAGACCCAGGAGGTCCCCAGCCTGTGGTCCCCGCCGGTGAAGCGCCCAGAGCGAGACGGGGCGGGGCGGGCCATCCTGGCCTGGACAGGGCGGCGGTTACTACGTGCCCGGGGCTGCTGCACACTTCTGGGAGGTTAGTGGTATGTTCTGGGCATTTTTTCTTAAAAACTTTTAGAGGTATCCCTGGGGCCTTTGAAAACAGCTATCACAGTGAGGACTTTTCTTGTGGAGCCCGAGTTGCGGGGGCGATGGCTGCTGTCGCGTCGACAAGCTGGGGGCGGACGTCTGTTGCACAGGTCGCCTTTCCTCCCTTGTGGGGCCTGGGACAGGGACGGGCGCAGAGGCCGCCTGTGGCTTTGCCTCAGGACAGATCCAGCCCCCCCACCAGTGCCCCTGCCCCTGCCGCTGCCCATCTCCGTCCCACCACGCCTGCAGCTGGCCTTGCGGGCCCTCTGCTGTGCCCACCGCTCTGTGCCCGCCACGCACCCACGCCACCTTTCAGGGCCGTCGGCTGAGGGGCCTGTCCACCTCACTGCTCCCATCCACCCATGCAGGTCTCCAGCCCCCGGAAAGCGGTCAGTGTCCAGCGGGAAGAGTCGGCGTTGCTTTCCTGAGGCGGAATGGAGGCCACTGGGGTTTTCCCAGTGGGGACCACGAGACAAAAAAAAAGAGGAAACCCACCACTGAGGGCAGCGCCGCGGCCCCCAGGCTCCGCAGCGCGCCCCAGGTCTGGTGGGAGTGAGCAGCGGTCTCTGTGCTGCTGCCAGGGCTTGGGGCTCTGGGTCCCCGCCAGCAGCAGCGTGGCGCTCCGGGCAGGCGGGTCCACTTGGAAGACCTGTCCCCCCCCCCCCCGGGGATGGCTAGCGCTTCCCACAAACCTCTACAAAGACACCTGTGTCTTCCGATTCCCAAGGAGAAAGAGCCCGATGGGGCAGATGATGTTTTCAAGCTTGACACTGAAATAACTCGATTCGGAGTCACATCACCATCACGGCAGACGCGCCCGGGGAGCGCCGTGCTCACTCCTCAGGATCAGGACCCAGTGCGCGTGCCACCACCTGCTCTCGCTGGACAGAGGCCACCCCACCCCGTGGCCTCACTGTCACAAAGGCCCAGCCCCGTGGGTTCCCCAACACCTGCTTGCTGTGAGAGTCCCTGGTCAGACGGACTCACCAAGCCCCGCCCAGGATCCGCCCAGCCAGGCCCCCAGCGGCCTCACCTCCCCTACGCGGCTCCATCCGGGCCCTCCGGCACATTCGGGGGTGAGCTGTAGGAAGGGGTGAGGGCGGGCAGGTGCTGGTCCCAGGTTCTGGGGCCTCAGGTGCCTGAGCGCCTACCACCCACTCAGAGGTGCAAATGGCCGGCCTCAGGAAGTGCTGGACGGGAGGTCCAGCACTTGTCCACACAGCCGAGCACAAAGGACACGCAAGACATGGGAGCCCCGGGCCCACCGCCCACCTGGGCCCGTGACCCCTCCGACGGATGCACCTGGACCAGCAGAGGCCCCACTGCATCAGGACCCACCCGAGCCGGGGCGATGGCTGGGTGGGGGCTGCCACGGCTCAGACGTGTGGCACTGGACCCTGGGGGGCCGAGGCCCCCACCCCACCTCTCTCTGCCCCCGCCCTCCGCAAAGTGAGCGCAGATCCAGCCCGAAGCGCCCTCCAAGCACCCCCTTTGGTAGCTGAGAGTCCCGAGTGGGGTTTCAGGATCTGCAGCAAGAAAAAAATCAGATTTCAGGGCTGAAGACATTTTAAAATCGGGCTTTAAATAAACATGGAGTGATGAGAGAGAGAGGGGCCTCCAGCAGCTGAAATTAGAAGCAGCCGCCCTGGGCCGCGACCATCTGCGCGAGCGAGCTTGGCGGCTCGCGAGTCTGGAGTGGCGGCAGCGGGAGAGCTGGTGGCGGCAGGCAGGGGCCACGCGTCCTGCTCGGAAGGACCGCGGCAGCACCTGGGCTGGGCTGCCGGCGTGGCCTCCAATTTCAGATTCCAGAGAACAGACCTCCTCTCCGCTCCAACACCCTCTCCGCCTGCTTCCAAGGCAATTCAAGTCGCTTGAGAGCCGGAGTGATAAGAACACAAAGACCACGTTTCAGGGGTAGATGAAGGGTGATTGTTTCTCTGAGGCTCAGTGTTCTCTCCTCCTCGTCCCTGGGGGAGGCTGGGTGACCACCCATACCCTGGGGGACGGCTGGGGCGGCCAGACTGGGCTCACGGAGCTTGGCACCCTCCCCCGGCCCTCCAGTTCCCCTCACTGAAGACCCCTCCACGAACTGGGTTTGTGGCCCCCCAGCAGGAGTGCTGGAGTTGGGGGTTCCCTGCTGCCTGCAGCTCCCCCCCCCTCCCCCCCGCAGTGCACCCAGCCCAGCTCTGGACTAACAGCCCAGCACCCAGGCCCTCCCTGCCTCGGCTGGGCCAGGAGGCAGCGGGGGGGGGGGGGGTGGCCCCCCAAAGGCTCACCCGCACTGTCAGCGACTGTCTCCTCACGCGAGTGGGTGCCTGACGCCGCCAGGAGAAGCACCCGGCGAACCTCCGAGGCTGCTTCGCGCCCCTGCTCTCCCCCCACGCTGCCTCCCGCCGGTGCCCAAGTCACGGGACGTGGGTTACGTAAGGAGGCCCTTGCTAGGCGAGGGCCTAGGGAGCCCCCCAGGCCCCCCCAGCCTGGCCAGTAGGGAAGTTCTGGAACTTTCTAGGCCACTCACTAAGAGGGCTGAGGCTGGTCCACAGCCAGAGGGCCCGCTGCTCCGCCTTCCTGCACGGGAGCCCGGGAGCCCGGGAGCCCCTCCCCCCAGGCTCGGTTCGGCTCAGGCGCCCAGTCAGGCACCCAGTCAGGCACCCTGTGGGGGGCGGGTGCAGCCAGCACAGGCCCCTGGGGGCACCGGGTGGCTGGTCACGGAGAAGAGAGCCCTCGAACTCTGAACCCCCGCTCAGGTCGGGGTGGGGGCCGATCCAAGTAAGAGACAGAAGTGGGGGGAGTGCCCCTGCTGGCCCCTTGCTCAGGGCTCACTGTGGGTGGGGGCAGGGGGGGGACGGACAGGCCAATGCTCCACCTGCAGAGCCCACAGGGATGGGACGCACGTGAGGCCAGACCCTGTCTTTTAGTCCCGAAAGCCAAACAGATGCTTGTGTTCAACTCGCCAGCACCCTGCTTTTAATCAACCTTCAATCTCAGGACAGTGTTGCATTTACATCATGGCACCCAGTGCTACACCTGGTTCCCCCTTGGTAGCACGGTGAGTGTGATGCGTCCATCACAACCACACGCCCCTGCTGGTGCGTCTCCACCAGCTGAAGTCCACCCGAGTCCAGCGTCCTTAGCTTTTTTCCACTGTCCCTTTCCTGCTCCAGGGTCTCACGTCGTGTTTCCACGGGCTCCTCTGGACTGCAATGGCCTCAGAGGCCCTGGTGGTGTGTGACCGTGACAGCGCTGTGCTGTGCTGGGCAGGGGTTGTGCAGACAGCCCAGCCAACAGGACTTGCCAGGCGGCGACGCTGGGGGGATGGTGTTGGGGGTTACGGCGGAGTTAGTGCCCTCTCTGCACACTGGGGCCACACGTGCGCGCCGCGGCTCCCGCTGTTCCTGTGACCGGGCTCGGCTGGCGGAGGTGCGCTTGCTGGCACCTCCTCTTCCACCCTGTCCGCCTAGAGAAGTCGACATGCGATGCCCGCAAGGAAGGGCTCGGAGTGCCGCTCTACCCAGCGTCTGCTGTTCTGCAGAGACCTCCCTTCGAGTCGCTGAAACACACTAGGCCAGGGCCCGTTCTGCTGCTGTTCACGCCTCGGCTCCTGGCTGCAGGCTCTGTAGCAGCAGGTACCTGCCCGTGTCCATGTGCGACACCAGCTCTGGGCAGCAGCCCGGCCTCGGTTCTGCCCCCTCAGCAGCACACCCGTCTGTGCACAGCCGGCGGGCTTCTCCCACCGCAGGAGCTCGGCTCTGCCTCTCACCCTGGACCGAGCCGTGTGTGTGGGAGGCGGGGAGGGGACGTCCCACCTGTGCGCTCCAGGTCCCAGGCCACTCCTTGCTTTCTTGGTGATGACGTGCAGGCACAAAGAACCCAGGCCTGGCTGGGAGCCAGGAAACAGTGCTCTGGACTCGGTTTGGATAGCTCTCCCCGGCGACCCTGGCCGGCCAGAACGCCTGGCGTGGAGGGAGGAGGCAGAGAGGCTGAAGCAGGACCAAACATGGCCCCGCTCCCCGGGCCTGTGGTCTCTCCTCTGAAACTTTCTGGTTACCGATGACAAGTGCTTTGATCCAGGGAGGAAAGAGTTTTGATTGGGCGGGTCCCTTTCTTCAGGAGGCTGCTGGGAAGAAGGGGGGGGTGACAAAAGCAGCGCCCTTGCCAGGCACGAGATCTCCCTGTGACCACAAGTCGCCACCCCCAAGGCCAAACTCTGCCAGGCCGGGTTAGGCTGGTCAGAGAGGGACAGAGGAGGCGGCCACTTAGAGTTCGGCCGGTGGGCACCTCAGAAAGGGCACTTCTGTTCAGCAGAAATTCACAAATCCCTGGGCTCGCTTTGCCAGGGGAACAGCTTGCTCGAAAAGCAAAGGCTGTCATCCTGTAATTAAATCCGAGACCCCCTCCCTACGTGACGTTGAGATGAAGCCACTTACATAACGGGACTAAAAATAAGCTGATGAAGAGCTACATTCATTCTGCTTCCAGCCTCCCCCCAGGTTGCCCACCCGGGGTCACCGTGGCAGCGCCTGGCAGTCAGACTCTTGCCTCTGACCCCGGCTCAGCACACCGAGTACGAGGGCACCCTCGTGAGCTCCCAGGCAGGTGGACCTTCTGGTCCGGGGCTGGGCCGCTGAAGGGCGGCTTGGCCACACACCTCCCTGGCTGTGGGAACCATTGTGCCGAGACCGACCATCAGAAGTGAGAGGGAAAACCAGTGGTGTGCACCTTCCAGTCCACCTGCTTCTTGGGGACTGTGAATGACCGGCTCGTTGTAGACACCCCCCCACAGACAGGAGGAAGAACAGCCACTCTGGGCAGGGACAGAGGACCTGGGCTCCTGGCGTCACAGACCGACGCTCTCTGCCAGTGTTGGTCTTCTCGCTGGTTCTCTGTGGGGCAGGAGGGTGGGCAGAGCTTCCCCATCCCATGGGGACAGTGGCCTCCTCCTGCTGGTCCTAGAGAGGCGGTCAGACCCCAAGGCTTGCCAACGACTGCCCAGTCGCACTGGCTGCCTACGCCCAGGCGGGTGGATTAGACCCCACGGCCCCCAACACGGTCTGTGAGGTGACGCAGAATGAGGTGTGCTCACGAAGGGCCCCAAATGCCCCCAAAATAAAAGGGAGGCAGGACAAGCCGCACTGCAAGCTCTCCCAGCCCACCGCCGATGGCCCTGCGTCCGTACCCTGGTGCCGGGCCCCACCCCAGGCACTACTACCATTTGTGGTGACTTCCAAGGAAGAGAGGGGCCTCACAGGACTTGGGTGGTCTCCTGCCCTGGGCTCAGACCACCTCCTCCCAGCTGAGGGGTGGCACACCCATGCTGGGGACCTCTCTGGAGGCCGGTGGCTAGTGAAAGACAGCAGGCAGGGCCGTGACTTTCTCAGCTGGGTTTTCCAGGCCAGGCAGGTGAGGCTGCCCCGCCCACATCCTGCTGTGTGACTGCCCTCCGCCCAGGCACGACACACCCTCTTTTTCATCACTTGTGGCAGGTGCCCCATGAGTGCTCCTCTGCCCGAGGGCGCCCCTCCCAGCTGCCGGCTGGTGGGCACAGGCTGCAGCCATCAGCCCACCTGGAAAGGCAGGCTGGACTCTGCAGAGGTGTCCTGCCTAAGTGTGAGCAACCAAGTGGGCAGGAGGGGGTGTCAGGAGCGGGACCTTCTAAAGCAGGGAGCAGGCCTGGGGACCGTGGGAGCTTTTCTGGAGGCCTCTCTCCTCCCTCCGGGGTCTGCAGGCTGACCTCCTCCCAGAGGGGCCAGCCCACCTGTCACCTGTCATGCTTCTGGTCCCAGCCCTCCACTTCCCTCTGGGACAGCAGCTGTTCCTCTACCTACCCAGCCTCCCCTGTGACCCTGCCACGTCAATGGGCTCACAAGAGAGTGTGCGCTGACTCGAGCTTGCCCGGAGGAAGGGAAAGAGGACCACTAACGTCCTCACTATGAGAGCCAGCTCAGCTGGTATCACACACAACGAAAAGAATCCGGGGAGCTGCCACCACTGGGACCTATCTTAGCACCTGGAGAGCAGTAAGGACAAAGAAGGAAGTGAGCCCACAGGAAGGAAATTAAACCAAAAGGTCAGGGAACCAAGACTCAAGGTTGAGGAGGTGGGTAGGCAACTGCTTCCGGAATACCGCATTCCTTTCCTCTGCACCCATAGGAAGCCCGCAGCGTGAGGTCCGTTCAGGTCATGGATGCGGCGACTTTGGGGCCTGCTTAGTCCCTTGCTGTCTGTCTGGTGTGTCTCCGAGTCTTCCTCAGCGCCTGATGTTGAAGGGATGAAGGAGCACTGTCCCAAGGATGGGATACTAGCAGGCAACGTCCGACTTAATCTAAGGGAAATATTCAGACCTTGTGCTTTACGACATAAACAATTCCTCCATGTTAGTGTAATTCGTGTAAATATTTCTCTGAAGGACCTGCACTGGGAACCCACTGTGCCAGCCCGGGTCAGTTTCCTCCGCAAAACCTCCCAGGAAGCTCCTTCAAACGCAGGCAGAGCTGACCCGTGATCCGACGTCCAGGAAGTTCCCCTCTCCAGGTTTCCCCGCCCCCTCCACCACCGCAGACCCTGCCTCCGCAAGAGAACTCCAGCCAACAAGGATCTTCCGCCCCCAAGAGAGTCCCCAGGTCCCCAACCCTCCCTGCAGGACCTTCTGCCCTCCCATACCTGCCCCCAGTCCAGAACCCTCAAGTCTTGCCCCCACTCCCGCATCCTCTTCCGCCACCCTCCTCCGCCAAGGGCCCACCCCTCTCCAAGATTTTAGCGCCGAGCCTGACCTCCCCCGGGGCCCGCTCTCCCTCCTCCCCCAGCAGGGCCAGCCCGGGGGTCGCCGCGGCCCCGCGGACTTACCTACTACATTCCCGGGAAGGACCCCCGGGACAGCGCGCCGGTCTCTCCCATCCTTCCCCAAGCCCGCGAGACCAGCGGCCGACCGGCCAGGGACCGTCGCCTCCCAGCACAAGCTCGCGACCCCGGCGCCTTCGAGGAGGCCCGACCGCCCCGACTCACCACTTCGCGAAATGCCGCCCCCACGCGCCTCAGCCTCCCGCACTCCCACCTCCTGCTCACTTCTTCCTGCGCCACCCCGCCCCCACCTCCCCGCCCCCAGCCCGGCTGTCGCCAGGACCCCCCCCCCAAGGCTGTTCCCTGGGCCTCAGCCCGCGCCGCGCCTCCGCCTTTTCCTCTTTGATCGATAGCGCCGCCGGCCAATCGCTGCCCTGCGCCTGCCCCATATGCCCCGCCTCCTTCTCCCGCCCCCTTTCCTCCCCTCCGGAACCCACCAATAGGAAGAAAAGCGCGGGGGCGGGGCCTTCCAGTTGCCTAGCAGCGGCGGGCTGGGCGGGGGCGGGCTGCTGGGGTGGCGATCGGGGCGCGGCGGGGGCGGGCGATAGGAGGAGGGGCATAGAGGGGGCGGGGCCTGTGCTCCTATAAAGGTACCCGCCGGCGAGCTGCCGCGTTTCTGGTCGAGTTCCGCGCGCAGGCTGCTGGTTCTTTTGGTGGCTTCTTCTGCGCCCCCCCCCCCACCGCCGCCTCCGCTACCTGCGCCCCCGCTTCGGTCCGTGGTGCAGCCGGACCAGCACCATGTCGCTGTCGCGCTCGGAGGAGATGCACCGCTTGACGGAAAATGTTTATAAGGTGAGCCCCGTGCCGCCCGCACGCTTGGGCCCCGCCTGGCTGCTCCGGGCCCTCAGGGGTCTTTCCGGCGCCGCGGCGGTGGCCCGGCCTCGACCGGTCACAGGTGTGTGTGGGCGTCCTCGTCTCGCCAGTCTGCGCTGCCCCCACGCGCCCTCGTCGCGCCTGGGACAAAGTGGAGAGGGGCGCAGGTCCCGGGGCGGCGGGGGCGGTGGGGGGCAGAGGGCTGGGATGCCCGCGGCTGGCTGGCCGCATTGCCCCGGTTGGTGTGGTAGTCCCGCGGGCGCGGTTACGCTAGGCTCCGGGCACTTTTTCTCAACAGGCTTTTTCTCTCCACAACTCCGTTCCGGGCACTAATGGCCGTGGCCCAGGTGGGAGGTCGCACGGGCAGGTTGGATGGGTGAATAGATAATCCATCATCTTATGTAACCGCGAAGGGAGAAGACTAATTGTGTAGGAGGCTGGCGCGCCTGCTTCTGCTTTGATATGTGTTAAGAGTCGAATTCGGATCCGCGTCTTCTTTGGAAGTGACCGGGAAGCCTTCTGGGCAGCCCTCCCCGTCAGTCGAGTGCCTCGGATCCCCGTTAACAGGCCCTGGGGCTTCTGTTTCTCAGCATCCACTTCCTCGGTGCGAACCCCCCACCCCCACCAAACAGACCAAGCGGGTTGGGCGGCTCGGCCCGCTGCAGTTCCAGACGCCTTTTCGCCGGGGAGATTTGCCTCGGGCGGTCCGCGCGTCTTCTGACAAAGCTGCGCTTTATTTTGAAACTGTGTCTGAAGGTTAAGTGCTGGGCTGGGAGGACCGGGTACTTGGTATTTACGCGGCAGTTGCAGGTTCACGGTGGCTGATCCAGATTGCAGCGCGCTGGCGGAGCAACAGTTTCTGACCGCGTTAAGCAAGCATGGCTTCTCAGCCGGTGGCCCGCCAGGCCAGCTACGCGCTCCCTGGCTCAGGACCCAGAGGGAGGCTTTGGGTGACCCTGTGCCTTCGGTCCGAGCCCAGAAGGCAGACTGCACTGTCACCCAGCCTCAGTAGAGGTCCTGAAGTTGCGGTGAGGTGGTCCAGACGGATCCTGAGACCAGGTGGGGATGGCCTTGGTCAGTTCCGAGGCCATGTTAGAGCTGCTGGTAAACAGGCGTTGGGGGCCGCGGGGGAAGAGTGTTGTGTGTGTGTGTGGGGGGGGGCCTGCAGAAGCCCAGCTGCGTTCCTGGTCTCGTTGCTCTGTGAGCGCTGTCAGGGGAGGAGGCTTGTTCAATTATTAGTCATTAGTTCCATTACGACCTGCTCCTTACTGCAGGGGTGGGGAGACGTGCCAGGCTGTTCTTCCTAGTTTCCCAGCTTCTGCCCTGAAACCATGAAACAGGAACTTTCATGGTGAGACTTCCGAGGGGCGCGTGGCGTGGCTTTGCACTGGGGAATCCCCACGACCATCCTTGGTGGAAGGCACACCAGGGCCTCCCGGCCGGGCATGCAGTCAGTCACGGCCGGGCAGCTCTCGGCGAGGCTGTGGTTTGTCTGGAGCCTGAAGTGAACTCTGCTGTCAGGACAGGGCTGTCGGGGACTTGGTGGTCTTGTGAGAGCAGACAGGAAGGTTGGGGGCACACGTTCCCCGGCATCGGCGTCGACGTCTGTCTGGTGGTCAGTGACTCCTGTGTCCTCGCCCTGCTCTGCTCCTGGGGCAGGCTGAGACTTCCTCCTGCCCGTCCCCGGTGCCTTTCCCTGATGTCGGTGCCTTTCCGTGAGGTCGCCCGGGAGTGGGAGGTTCTCTGGTGGAGCCGGTGCAGGTTGGGCGGCTTTGGCCTTCGGTCCAGCAGAAACCGGCCGACACGGAAGGCACAGCCAGAGCCACGTGCGTGAGGCCCTGGGCCAGCCAGGCAGGTCCTTCTGTCCTGTGGAGGGATGGCCTGCCTCAGTGCTGGAGTTGGTGGCTTGCACAGAAGAGGGGCTGGGACGCAGCCCCGCTCATGGCACCCGATCTGCAGCTCAGCCGTGTGCTGTGGGCTGGCATCCCGGCCCCCGCAGCTCGGAGAGGCACTCGCCTGGGCAGAGGAGGGCAACGAGGGTGCTCATCCCTGGCCTTGCTGCTGGAAACACAGGAATAAACTGAACAGTTGGGTTGTTCTCCCTGGAAGACTCTGTAATGTGGACGATGTCTTTTTCCCTGTGGTCTAGTTCCCATGGGACCCGTGTCCTCAGGGGATTTCGTGGAAGGCACAGGGGACAGGAGCACACTGCTGTCCCAGTTCCCCCTGAAAACTGGCCCTCAGACCCTCCAGGGGACAGCGTACTGGCCGCAGGCACACCCCGGGGCAGCCCTGGGTAATTGCCTGGGGTGGGGATAGCGTGCAGGGTGGTCATCTGCCGCTCAGAACAGAGCCGCCACTGTAATCCTCTTGGGAGAGGCCTTTGGTGTCCCCGAGTGCTGGAGAGGTGCTTGCCGGAAGCAGATCTCATCTCCTGGTGGTTCTGCAGGGGGGCTGTCAGGCGGGTGCCGTGCTGGTGGCTCTGTGTCCCAGAAGAAGCCCTGGTTCCCATGGGACCTGAGGACCCGCGAGGGGCAGCTTTGGCACATCCTTTAGGAATATGGTGTCACAGGCCTCAGCCTGTCCTGAGAATGCGGAGTGGGGGCCAGCAGAGGGGGGCGCTGTTCTCGGTGCTGTGGCCTCATTCTGCAGCTTTGGTGGGGAAGCTGACCTGGCCCCTTGTGCTGGTGACGTTTGCCAGCAGGTCCCTGTGGCTGGGAGTCAGTCGGCTTGCCACCTCTGGTGTGGCCGGGAAGGGCTGGCGTAGGGTAGCTGTCGGCGCTGGCAGGAGGGGGCCCACTGCTGTCCTTTCTGATCAAGCCCTGACTGAGTAGCCCCTGCCCACTGCCACCCCCACCACCCCCTCCAGGTGGGCCCTCCTCACCCTCGCCCACACCTGGGCAGCCGCGTGTGTCCGTCGGTGGCTGTCAGTGGCCCGGCACTCGCAGTGGTCAGAGCTGCGCGGGCCGGGTGGAGGCGGTGGAGGCGAGTCTCTGACGGGCACTTCCTTGGCAACGGAAGTGCCTGCCGGGTGGAGCAGGCCCGTGCCCGCCCGTGAAGGAGGCGAGGAGTCACAGCGCCGCGCGTGAGTGTGTGTGGGGGCTGTGCTCGCGTGTGTGCGTGCGTGCGTGTGCGCAGTCTGTGCTGGGGTCCCTTGTCCTGAGGAACATTCTGCTAGAAGAGGCCTTGTCCACACCCCCATCCGTTCCCTCCCACGGAAGGCAGGTCCTCTGCAGCCCAGGGACTGGTGGCACTCCAGTGGTGGCCTGTCCTGCCCCCTGGAGATGTAGGGCCTTGGTGGCTGCAGACCCAGCAGTGCCCTGGACGTACCTTTCCTCCGGGGGCTCCGGTCAGGGCCAGCTGCTGGGATTCTCGGTGTGGGCTTCTTGCCAGCGCCCCACCTGCGGGAGGAAACGTGGTGGGGCCATGCAGGTGCCACCTGGCCCTAACAGTCCCACTCTCTATCACTCTGGCTCTGCTCTGGGGGAAGCAGAACAGCAGCTGGGGGCCACCTGGGCTATACAGTCTGCTGGTCATCGAGAGTCGTTGTGACTAACCTTTGGTGGCTTGCTTGGGCACAGCGCAGTGTTGCGTGTGGCATCGTTTATCCCGAAACCAGCTCCGCGCGGGGCCCTGGGGGTCCCAGCAGGAGGGGAGCAGCCCATCACGGGGAGGGGCTGGGGGGCTGAGCAGGTATGAGCCAGGAGGGCCGAGCCCAGCCTCTGGCTGCCAGACCTGCTTTTCCCAGGGTCCTACCCCTTTTGGGCAAGTGCGTCCACTTCAGCGCAACTGTGTTCTTGATGGCTGACGGGCCTGAGGGAACACTTCCTGGGGGAGGGGGCCGTGGTCGTCAGCTGTAGCAGTGGAGGGGACCAGGAGGGTGGCAGCAGACAGAGGGGAGCCCCGGCTGAGGCTCTGCTGTTGGCTGGGGCGCCCAGTGGCCTGTGCTCCCGAAGGTGGGGCAGCCCGCGGAGCAGGGAGGGCAGCCGGGCAGGGCGGGCCCTCTGCTGCCTTCTCGTCCAGCAGGAGCCCCGCCTGTGAAACTCAGGCGGAGCCACCTCGGGGACCAGCACGGGTCAGTGGCCTTGGAATGTTCCAGCCAGCCGGTTCAGCAGTAACTGGGCCTGGCTGTGCCATCAGCGATGAGGACGGACCTCGGCCAGGCCAGGACCTCTGCGTTGCAGGCGGCGACGGCCCCGGGTCTCGGCTGACTTGGGTCGCTGGGCAGGTGCCTCAGACCCAGCGGCGGCAGCCAATGCCTGGTTCCCAGTCTGGAGACCTCTTTCCTCAGCTGGCAGACGCCGCCCCTCCCAGGTCCTCCTGGGGCACCCTCGGGACCCCCTCTTGACATGTTGACCCCTGTAAAGGCCCTCTTCCCAAAACAGCCACTTCCCCAGGGGTGAGGGTCAGGCCTTCACCACCTGGAAACTTGGGGACAAGATCGGCCCCCAATGCCCAGGTGCCATCCCCCCAACCATGGGGTGCGGCGGTCCTCTGGGTGCCATCTGTCAGAGCAGCAGTGAGTGTCGGCCCCGGGCCGCCGGACCCTCAGTCAAAGGGCCTCCTGGAAGGGGGCGCACCCACCTGCCGCCTGCTGGAGCCAGGGCCCCGGTGCGCACCAGCCACAGACGACATGAACAGGACACACACTTCCCTGGGGCAGGTCCAGGCAGCCAGGGGTGCGACTGTAGCCCCGGCCTTTAGTCCCTCAAGAGGCCCTGGCCACAGAGCACGGGACAGGCAAGAGATGTTTCTTGGACAGGAAGGAAGCGGCAGGCCCAAGTTCGGACCCCGCTGCTCATGGCTTCTGGTCTGATGGGCGTGTCCAGTTCCTGCGGGGGAGGGGGGTGGCGGCACACGGGACAGACCCCACCCTGCACTCTCTGGCCCCGCATCCCTCGCAGGCTGCCTGAGGGCTTTCCTGCCCCCCAGATCTCACTCAGGAGGGGCAGGCTTGGGGCACCTGGGGGCCGCAGCCCCTGAGAGAGGAGTGGGGATGTAGGGCTTCCAGTTCCACAGGATCAGGTGGTTTGTGCCCCGTGAAGGGGGTGTGGGGCCCTGCAGCGCCTGGGAGCACGGGTTGCTCTGCTCACACCGGTGCCTGGGCCCCTGCCCCGGAGCCGGCACTGGGAGAACTGGCTGAATTCTGTGTCTTGTCCTGATGTTACTCAGCCTGAGACTCGGCTGTCTCATCGCCCAGGGCCTCCTGGGCTGGGCCGGTGCAATGATAGGAAAGGGTGGCCCTTCTCCAGTGGCCCCTGGCCCCGGAGGGACCCTCCTCTGCCTCCCGAGACCCCAGCCCCCCCCCCCCCCAGGGCTGCCACAAGGTGCTTTCTTCTGCAGCCTCCACTGGAGGCTCTGCTGGCTGGGCCACCGGAGCTGGGGGACCCTGCCTCGTCCCAGCGGAGGCTGGCAGGCTGGGCTTGCGTGTGTAGGGCGGGGGAGGGGTCCTTGTCCCCCAAGAGGATTTGTAGTCTGCGGGGAGCTCGTGGCCCGTGGGGGAATCTCGTGGTTAACGTGGGGAGAAGAGCCTGCGCTGTCGAAGCGTGGCCAGCCCTCTTGGTTTGTCCCCGAGTCCAACCAAGTGAAATCCAGCTCCTGATCTGCTTCTTCCAGGCAGTCCTCCAGGAACTGAATCCTGGAGTCAGATCTATTTAAAAACAGTCCCCAGGAAAGACATTCTAGAAAGGGACAGGCTGCCCTCTGCCCAGAGCACCAGCTGGCCGGGACCCTGGTGAGGAGGGGACTGCAGTAGGCGAGCCCCCCAGAGGAAGGCCACCGCCTTCCAAGTGTCCAGACGGATGGTGGCACCGTGGGAGGCTGGGGCCACCGGCTCTAGAGCTGGCGCCTGCTTCTGCAGAGTCAGATCTGAGGGGGGGTGATCGGGGGCAGCCAGGTGAGTAGATAGGACAGGCGCCAGGCCCTGCTCTGGAGTGACAGGACGGCCAGGTGACAGCCGTCCCGGGCGAGGGGAGCAGGGTGCCTTCCAGCCTCACCCCCGTTCTACTGTGGCTGGAACACGGCTCCTCGGGGAGCCCAGGCAGGTGGAGTGGCCTGGGGCCACCGGTCTTGGTTGGAACAGTGCCGGGGCCCGTGCAGCTGGCCACTGGGCGACGCAGGCTCTGGCGGGCAGGCTCTCGGTCTCCCTTTGTTTGTCCCTCTGTGAAATGGGACGGCAACACCCAGACTGATCGGGTGAGGGTTTGGGCTGGAGAGGAAGTAGGGGCTGCCTGCCCCACGTGGAAGGGCTGGAGGCAGCAGGCGTGGCCCGCCCCTTCCCGTCCGTCCACAGAGAAACTGCCTCTTTGTCTGGGCGGCCCCGCCAGGAAGCCGCGGGAGGGGCCGTCCTGGGCCACAGTGGGGAGTAAACAGGCCTGGCCGCCCAGGCACCGGAGCGAGGCCTTGGCAGAGCCCCGCCCGCCCTCAGTGGCCCGGCTGGAGGCCAGGTGTCCGCTGCCCTTTGTCCCTGCTGTCCGGCAGAGTCCTTGGCCCAAGTAAATCAAGATGGCTGCCACTGGCCAGGGTTGGCCAGAGCTGGCCAGGCCGGAAGGCCTCACCAGGCCCTCAGCCTGTGGGGTCTGGGGACCAGTGGCCACCTGTGCCATGGCTGGGTCCCAGGCCTGGATGGGTCAGCCCAGTGCGCCTGCCCTGCCCGTGTGCCTGAGGCCTGGATGCCTGGGACGCTGGGGGCAGAGGGGACATCCTGCTTCGTGACGTCCAGCAAGAGGGTGACTGACCGATCTGAGCACCCCTGAACTCGGGGCGTCTCTTTGCCCAACCATCTGCAGCGTGTGTTCTGTGGGGCGTCCAGGAGCCCCCTCAGCACCCAGTGCCTGCCTGTCACCGGGGAGCCGTCCCGTACCAGCACAGAGTAACCTGGTGACAACTGAAAGACTGAGACCCGCTCAGGGCCTGTGGGAGCTCCTGAGGGAAGGACTCAGCCTCCGAGGGCAGCCGGGCCGGGCGTCTTGGTGGCGCGGCGTGGGCGCTGGCGCGTTAAGTGAACGCCACTTGGGGCTCCTGAGGACTCGGCCCGGCCCGGGGAGCGCGGTCCTACGACGCCGCTGTGCGCCCCGTGGCCCTCCTGGGCCCGGAGTCCCACGGCGGCTCCAGGTCCCAGGCACCTGCAGCCCCGGGTGCCGTCCGACCGGCTGGTGGCTCCGCTGGGAGCGCGCGAGTCTGCCCCCAGCTCCCCGGGCAGGGCCTCCCGAGGTGCAGCTCGCCCTGGCCGGCGGCTCGGCTGGTTGGAACATTGTGCTGCACACCGCGAGGTTGCGGGTTCGATGCCCTGGCGGGGCCAGCACAGGAGGCAGCCAGTCCTATTGCTCCTTCACGTCAGTGTTTCTCTCTGTCTCCCTTCCTCTCTCTCTCAGTAAGCGTGTCCTTGAGTGAGTGAGCAACAACAAAAGAAATACGCTTGTTCCTTCACTCCCAAGAAAGTGTGTCTCCGTGACAGCCCCAGAGCCTTCCCCGTGACGGCGGGAGGTCGAGCTGTTCCTGCTCTGCGGGCGGCTCAGGGCCTGGGTTGGAAGTGGCGGCGGCAGGTGGGCTGTGTGGGGAGGGCGCTCGCTCTGGAGGCCCCCGAGGGTGGTGAGGGCCCAGCCCTAGAGTGGCGCCCCAGGCCCGCTCCCGTCCCTGGGGCGGGTGTGGTGCAGCAGAGTGTACACACACACGCTCGTGTGCGTGTGGGCACGAGGCAGGAACACCAGCCACACGACAGCCCCAGGCCTGGGCCTGCACGGCCGCCGGAGTGGGAGGCCCGGGCGCTGCTGGCCGGGCCCTCACCTGGACTCGGAGTCCTCCCGGGCGCCCCCTGCTCATTCTGTGACATCTCTACCCCGGGTCCCCACTTCTCCTTAGACATGACGTGTCCAGACCCCGGGTCCCCACTGCAGAGTCTGGTCCCCAGGCCGTTCCCTGCGTCTCCACCAGGTCCCACCAGCCCCACGTCGAGGTCCACAGTGCTCAGGACTCGGGCCCTCCACCCCCGCCTTCACCTCTCATGTCACTGAGCCACTCCGGCAGGTCCCCCACCCCTTCCCTGGCTACAGCGTGGCCCCCACAGCCTGAGGGAACCCTGAAATGTGGCCCCGTGGGGCAGGGGCTCCAGCTTCCCTCTCCCCAGGACAGGCTCAGGCCCCTCTCCCGCCTCGGCTGAGAGCTCCCTGCTCTGCCCCTGGTGAGCTAGAAGCCCCGTGGGGGACAGGACCCCGGGGTCACTGCTGTTGCCCCAGCAGGCGTCAGCTCCGGGGATCACGCAGCAGCCCCCCCCCCCCAGCGGAGTTAGCCAAGGGCTCCCTTCCCAGGTCCCTGGTGTTTGGGGGCCTGGTGGGCGCCCCCCCAGGAAGCCTGGGGCCCAGCCTGTACACAGGTGGGTGGTGGCTCCAACGGAGGTCCTCACCCACCGTGGCCACAGGTGTTTGGGTGCCTCCGTTGGCGCTCCTGGCGGACTCTGGCGGGCGGGTGGCGCTCGGGCCCGGTGGGGGGGTTTCCTGAGGCCAGATCCTGCCGAGCTTCCAAGTGCCTGGCTCGGGACAAGCCCTGGGGCCGGGGCTGCATCTAGGGCCTCCCTGGTCTGCCCGGGGCCTGGCGGCTCCCCGCCCAGTGTCTCTCCCCGGCCACCCTCCGGGTGGACGTGTGTTGTTACACAGGCCGAGGGCAGGACATGGCCATGATGGTTTTCTCGGGAAGTTTTCCCCCCGAGTCTCGCTGGCAGGGTTGGCTGCCGGCAGCCGGCACAGATCCCCGGGAGAGCTCGCGTTGGCGCTCACTGTGAGTGCTTGTTTTTATGCCTCGTAATTAAAATGTTTATTTGGCCTTCGAGTGAAAATCTAATTTCTCCAGTCTGAGAAGTGCTGACGTTGGCGCCGTGACTCCAGCCCGTCAGCGAACAGGCCCGGGGCTGGCGGGGTGTTTACAGTGGTGCTGTGTCTGCGTGGCCGGCGGTGGGGTGCTAATCAGCTGCATTCAGTAATTGACGCGTGGAGGGAAGCCTGGTGCTGGGGGGACGCACGGGGGGGGGGTGCACGGGGCATCTGTGCGTGGCTGGCGGGAGGGCCTGGCGGGAGGGCCTTCCTCGGCTGACTCAGCCCGGCCCCTCGGCAGCCTCGCATCCAAGCGCCCCCACATGCTGCGCACCACCCCACACGCACTGTGCTTACCCGCGCATGCAGGCCACAGGGCGCACCGCAGCAGGTTCTGGTCTCGGTATCACCCCATCGTACAGGTGCAGAAAGGAGGGTGGCCCAAGGGCATTCAAGGGCGCAGCTCAGACTCGGGAAGTATGGTTGTGGCCCCGGGGGGCGGGGGGCACGTGCGCCCTGTGTTTGGCCCTCTCGGTCAGCCCCGGGCCACTGACACTCTGTCCCTATTCTCCCCAGACCATCATGGAGCAGTTCAACCCCAGCCTGCGGAACTTCATCGCCATGGGGAAGAACTACGAGAAGGCCCTGGCAGGTGAGGCTCGGACCCTGGTGTGGTGGGCGGGCGGGGCTCCTGTCTGGGTGCTGGCCTCTGTGCCTGTGGTCACGGGACGGCTGTGACAGGAGCCTGGAGTCAGGCCCCAAAGACAAGGAGCTGTGGCATCTAGAAGGCAGAGGATCCGCTTCGATGAAGCGCTGGGGGCCTCGGTGGCTTCGGGGCAGGCCTGAGGCGTCTGCCTGGCAGGGGAGCTGCTCACAGAGGGCGCTGTGGGGGGGCCCGGGGGGTTTGGGGAGGGACCCGGTGGGGCACAGAGCAGCCTGGGGCCCCGCCAGTGAGGCAGAATGCCACGTCCTGGGGCACTAACCTTTGGTCCCCTTGCCCTTGGCCATGCACACAGGCCCTGCCCCATGCCCGCTTCCCGGGGGGCTTTGTCTGTGGAGGGGACAGGGAGAGGCTGCAGCTGACAACTCGTTTTTCTTGCTGCCTCGGTCGCCTGGGACACAGCGCTTGGCAGAGCCGTCCTGTTCCTGGGCAGTGACCTCCTTGCTGGTGTCTAGGTGTGGGTGGCTGGGGCACAGAGGGCCTGCGCCGTGGGCCTGTCTGCACTTGGTGGGCGGGGCTGGCGTGAGGCCGAGCCCTGGCCCAGCACCGCAGGGTGCACAGCCCCCAAAAGAGGCTGATCCGCCCCCTGCTGTGCACACCACAGGGGGTTCGGAAGTGCCAGGGCGGCTCGACAGGCAGCAGCTTCCTTTCTCGAGGGCCGCCATCTGTAGGGAACTTCTCAGCCCCAGGGGTGTCTCTGGAGTGACGAAACTTCGTTTCCAGGTGCACTGTGTCCTGGTCAAGCCCGGGCCTGTCCGCCCTGCTGCAGCTCCGCAGGGGATCTGCAGGGGCTGTACGTGGGGAGCGTGGGTCTCCGGGCCGCACCGGAGCCCAGCCACCCTGCCGCCGCCGCCACCTCCGCTGCACTGGGCTCCCCAGGCCTGACCCGTGACCAGTTTGGCCTCTCCTTGTTGGCAGGGGGGGGCCCGCCCACCTGCAGCTGCCATGGCCGCCTGCCGGGCGTAGGACACGCAGGCGGGCCGACTGAAAGCCACCTGTGTAGAGCCTGCATGCGGGCCCAGCCACAGGCCTCCCCCGGGTGCCGTGGGAGACGCGACGGACTCGGCGGGCAGCTGCTTCCTCTGCCACAGGCCACACCTACCCAGGGTCTCAGGAAGGTCGCCACTGTCCCCTTGGTGGCCCTGGGCTGTCCGAGTCCTGGCAGATGTCAGGGCCACCTGTGCACATGCCCCCCACCACACCCCTGGCCACGGCGATGCTGGCAGGTCTGCGTAGCATGACACACCTCTCCCAGCTGCAGGCCCCGCCCCCACCCAGCTGCAGGCCCCGCCCCCACCCAGCTGCAGGCCCCGCCCCCAGGCCGGGCAGGGGCTCTCTGCCCAGGCGCAGCTTCCGCTCAGGAGCAAAGCAGCCCTCGGGTGGGGGCGGAAGAGGCGTCAGGTGGCGCCCGCACCGAAGTGTGCCTCGTCCAGGGGAGGGCTGCCCCCACCCGGGCTCCCTCCCCGAGGGAACTGACGGCCCCTCTCCCCCCAGGTGTGACCTACGCTGCCAAAGGCTATTTCGACGCCCTGGTGAAGATGGGTGAGCTGGCCAGCGAGAGCCAGGGCTCCAAGGAGCTCGGTAAGACCCTGCTGTGCCGGGTGGGTCTGCGGCCCCACTCTGCGCCTGGCCTATTTGGAGCTGTGGTCGGGTTTTTTCTCTGATGTGAGGGGAGGTTTTTCTAGAAGGACGATGGCACCTTCAGAGCAGGGCAGCCGCGGGCGCTGCTGGGAGCTCGCACGGGCGGCCGCGTCCCTGAGCAGCGAGGTGGTCCCAGTGGGCAATGGGAATCCACGTGCACCGGTGTTCACGTTTGGCGTCTGACACTGGGGAGCCGTGGGGCAGTTTGGACTCAGATACGGCACCTCAAGGCACGGGGAGGTTCAGGGTGTGAACGTGACCAACCAGGAAGCAGACCGCAGGGTGGTGGGGCCGGGCCTGTGACCACGGGACCGGTACGTGGCGGACGAGACCACCCCGCGGAACGGGGGCACCCAGAACAGCTCGCTGGCTTCTTCGCGCTTCCTCCGCGCCCCACGTGTTTTCCCAGACAAGCGGGTCCTGCTTTCACAATAACGGTGCGTGGTGTGGAACGGCCTCCCCTGGGGCACCAGCCTGGGGACCGTGCGCCCCTCCCCCTCCCCCCCCCAGTGGCCCTGTGACAGCTGCCTGGCCTGCTGGCCAAGCGTCCCGCCCGAAGCCGGGTCTGCCCTGTGGGGTTGGATGTGGCCTCTCTCACACCCTCACTGCGCGTCTGGGGCACTGAGGCCGGGCGCTTTTCCCGCCAGGCCTGCCAGCTGCGCGCTGTGTCCCGTGGTCTCCGGCCTGGCAGAGCCACGGCTGTGTCCAGGTTTCCAAGAGAAGAGCGTGGAACCGCAGCTGCTGCGGGGACAGACATGCTGTGGGAGGCAGGGCCGTGGCCAGGCCTTGCTCTCAGGGACAGCGGGCCTTTCCCTGGGGCCTGGGGGCCGCTCTGCACTCTGGCCCTGCGGGCTCAGCCTGGGTGGTGCCGGCCAGGTGTGTGGGCAGATGCGGGTCTTTGTGATGGGCGGGCTGTGGGCCCCAGCTGCCACTCCTGTGGACGGTCTGGGCCTCTGTCCCCCTGGGGGGACTCAGGTGTGTGTGTGAGCCCTGGCGTGTTCACACATGGTTCATGTCTGTGACAAGGGTGCTTTCTCGTTGGGGTTTGTCATGCAGGGTTTGTCACGTGCTCGAGCCCTGGGGTCACAGGCAGAGGGGCCAGGCTGCCCCTGGGAACACCAGGGGCTGTGCGGGTGGCCCCCTGGTCGGCCGGTGATGTGGCTGGAATGGTTGAGATCCCGGAACTTCCTGTGGGAAGAGTCCGAGGGGGCTGTCGCTGCAACGGGCCTGGTGGGCACCCAGGGAGACGCCCTTCCCCACTCCCGGATGTGTTGCAGCTCCTGTGTGCTCTGCGTGCGTTTTGAAGCCTTCCTCGGCTCATTTGGAGCATGGGGTCCGTCACCCCACCGGAGTCCGCCGTGTGGTCTGCAGAGGTGACCACAGACACCGGCCGGAGGAGGTCTCTGTGCCCTCTACTCAGAGCACTGTGACACCAGGCACGGGGTTTCCCGTGGCAGCCGGCCCCCGGCCAGGCGTCCCCTGTCAGTTCAGGCCGACACCCTGCATCTCCCAGGCCAAGGGCTCCCCATGGCACTGCCCGCACTGCGGAGGTCCGTTCCGACGAGTGGGTCCCCATGTTCCCCACTTCTGCTCCATCCTTTCAGCCGCAGATTGGGGGTTCCCACACCCTCTCCCCAGGTCTGACCACTTGCCTCCGAATGGGGGGGGCGCCTGGGTTTGCCAGGCGGTCACGAAGGACACAGGGCGAGGTCTGGGAGTGTCACCCCCATGGAGGCGGGGACCTGGTGCTCCCTGAGCCCTGAGGTTGAGGGATTTGTGGGGGCCCCTCCCTCAGGAGGGCGGGGGTGGGGCTGGAAGCTCCCACTTGTAACCCCGGCTTGGTCTTTCTGCTGAGCGCCCGGGTCCGGGAGTGTCCTAGAGTCCACAGCAGAACAAAAGACACGCCCGTCACCGGGGACATTCCATTCCGAGGACTCAGGAGCCCCGTGTCAGAGAACTGTGTCAGGAACCGGGACAGAGACCGACAAACCCTGCCTGTCACGTCACGGCCGCTGCACTGTCCTTCTGCCGCAGTGTCCCCGAGAAGCAACTCAAGTGACGCAGCTACCGTCTCCACTCTCTGCTCCCAGATGCTCCGCGTGCCCGGGGAAGCCTGTCCCCGCCAGCGGTTACGCGCCGGCCCGTGAGCCGCTGCTCTCTATCCCTGGGTTTGCATGTCGAGGCGCGTCACGTACAGGGACCCCTGCGGTGACCCACCTGTCCTTAGCGCTGGCTTTGCGTGGCCTCGTCCTGGTGGCACATGTGTGCCCGCCCCTCGTGCCTTCGTGTGTCCGTGCCCGACGGGTCCGTCCACCAGGGACTGGACTCAAGGGTCGCTTCCACCCTGACCGCCCAGTGCTGCTGGGCCCCATGCTCGGGGGGTGAATGTTCGTTAGACCACACTCACCCCTGGTCTGAAAACCGTGGGCCCCCGGTCCCTCCCCACCCGCTGTCCCCAAGGCACCGTCTCAGCAGCGGAGACCTTCCGCTGTGGTTCCTGGGCATCCAGCGTGGGCGGCGCCTCTCCCTGTGGTTGCTGCTGCCTGTGCTGTGGTGCAGGGGCTCGGGCCGCAGGCCCCCTCCCCCCACCCCTCCCAACAGCAGGGTCTCAGCTTCTGCTGAAACCCCGGACACTGGTCCCCGCGTGGGCCCACACACCTCGCTGGGGAATCGAGCACCCGTGGCTTTAGGGTCCACAGTGGGGGATATTCCTGGAGCCGGCTCCCCACAAACGCCCAGGGACAGCTAAGCTTGGCTGCCAGAGCTTATCTGCAGGTTTCTGGCTGTGCAGGGTCAGTGTCCCTGTCCCCCGCGGTGGTCAAGGGTCAGCTGTCTGGTGTGCGTGTGACGAAGACAGCAGGAGTCCTGGTCACAGCAGGACGCCCAGGGGACAGTGGCTCCTGCGTTCCCAGCTGCTTTGTGGACACCCTGTCTCGTGCGGACAGCGGACGAGTCCCACACGTGTGGGCAGCTGGGAACACAGCACACACCCCCCCCCCCACTTTCTGGGCCCAGCAGGCCCTGCTGCCCTCTCGCTCCCCTGCGCCCACGCCAGGCGGCCACAGCGTGTGTTCCAGGCAGGGACTCGTGTGCTCCACCAGCGTTTGTGCGACACTGCGTGTGAACTGTGCTCCGCCCGCTCTGGCCTGCGTGGCCACGGGGCAGCGGTCTGGCCGCCCCACCGGTGCTGTCTGCTGGCCTCGAGGCTGTGCGGTCCCTGTCCGAGCCCCCCCCCCCCCCCCCCGCCCGCCTGGCAGACCCCCGCCCCCCTCGTGGGCCTGTGCTGGTTCCCGGACGTTCGCCCTCGGGCTGTCCCACCTGGCGGCGGCCGGTGTCCTGTTTGAAAACCACCCGTGTTCCGGACCACGGTGTGGTCTTCCTCGAGGGTCCGGCCTCAGTGGTGTCCCTGCCCCACGGGGAAGGGCCGTGCCTCTCCCTCCCGGGTCGGGGCCCCTGCTTCTCGGTGCCGTTCGGCTTTGCTGCCTGTCGGCGTCCCTGTGTGAGCTGCGTGGCGTGCGCGCCCTTCTTCCCGGTGGGCTGAGCTCAGCGTGCCGTGCCGTCTCGGCCCCTCACGCAGCGTGGTTTCCTCCTGCCCTTCCAGCCTGGGGTCCTGGGAGCTGCTCATTCCTGGGACGGGATGAGTGGCCATGTCTCCTGCACCGAGGTGAAGAGGGCCCACAAGGAGGCGCCTTGCGGGGCAGAGCTCTGCCCGGGTGCTCTGCTCACACCGACCGAGTCCGGGGGCAGCACCAGGCCCCTCTGCCTGAGTCGGCCTCACAGACTTGGTCTGGATGCCCAGCAGAGGGGGGCTCATCTGCTGCCGCTGTCCTGCCAGCGGACCTCCGGGCGTGGCCCCCGGCGGGTGTGGGCAAGGACCCTGGCCACTTCTGTCCTCGTTTCTCTGGTGCCTGCCTTTTTTCCCCCGTAAGGTTTTATTTATTTTTAAGGGGAAGGGAACAAGAGAGGGAGAAAAACATCAGTGTATGGTTGCCTCTCGTGCACCTCTTCCTGGGAACGGGCCTGCAACCCAGGCATATTTGAACCACGATCCTTTGGTTTGCAAGGTCGCACCCAGTCCACTGAGCTACAGCAGCCAGGCCTTCCTGTTCTTTGAGTGCCGTTTTTCCTTTCCCGTTTGGGGCAGGAGCTTGTCTAGGGGGGCTGCGGCCCTGCTCGTTGTGGGGACAGCCCCGAGAATGGTGGCCACACCGACCCTGCCCGGCCGCCGTGTGGCCGTGGCGCCCTGACCACGTCCTGCGGAGCCCCGCCCTCCCCCACACCGGCCAGTCCTGTGCCGCTCAGAGGCGGCCCCCCCATCGCACGGCAGAGAGACTCCAGCGTGCAGTTCCCCGCGGAGGTCAAAGACGGTCGTCAGAGCTGCGAGCGGCGGCCCGGTGGCCCCTGGTCCCTCCCCCGTGGTGCCTCTGCCTTTGGTCCCTGCGGCCTCCGAGATGCGGGGCGGGCTGCTCTCCTCCTCGCCGGCTTTCTTCCCCGCGGTGCTTGGGCTCCGCTGCGACGGACTCAGTTCACTTTGACAGGCGGCTGCTTAGTCGGGTGCGGGGCTGCCTGAGCTCCGGGGCCCGGAGCCTCCACTGGGCTGCTGACCCCGAGCCCAGTCTCAGCCCTGCTCCCTTGGGTCTGCGCTGAGGCCTGTCTGCCGGGAGCCGCCCCCTGTGGGCTGACGACAGAGCGGCTGCCTTTGCTCCGTGAGCTGGTGGCTCTTCCTGCCTGGTTCTGCCGGTCTCAGGCTCCAGGCTGCCCCTGCTCTGTATGGACATGTGCCTGCCCCGAGGTCACAGAGCAGGTGGTGGCCGCAGCGCTGGGCGCCCGGTCTGCGTGCTTGGTCTCTGGGCTGCGCAGCTGGGCGGGGGCTTGGCCTGAGGCGGGGCGGGGGTGGGGCAGGCGGGCGTCCCTGCCTTTCCAACCCTCCTGACCACGTG